CTGCACAGGCCTTGAACTTGAAATTCTCCTGCCTCATCTTCCTGAGCAGCTGGAATTGCAAGCAAGTTCTTCCAAGCTTGGTTTATCTCATTAAAAAAAAAACAAAAAACAAAAAACCACAACTTACTTTACAGTAGAGCGCAAGGGCCCTTGGTACCAAGTGCAAGGAGCTGGCCTTTGTCCTAACTTAACTGTGATGCAGCCGTAGGCTAGTAGCTGGCTGCTACCCATTTAAGGCTCTCAGTAATGGCAGTCTGTGTGCCTGTGTTCGTAGATGAGAATGAGTACCGCAGAAAGCGGAGGTAACTGGCTCGTAGCTGCTTGGCTCCTGAGAGCTGCCAGCTGGCATGGAGTCCCCAACTGCTTTTCGGCACTCGTCCTCATCAGGATGCTAACAGTATAAACAGCTATAGCAGCTGATATGTCCTGAGAGCTAGAGTACAGCGGGTACCAAGATGTTAAACATGCTGACACCTTTAACCTTACAGCCCAATTGAGCTAAGGCCCAGGTCAGGGAAGAGGAAGAGACTAGGGAACCATGTGTCAGCTCACTGCAGTTGGAGCCCTGCAGAGCCCTCTCACTACTCCCACAGGTGGACAAAGAGAAGGGGATCTCCCTTCGTTTCCCTCGGTTCATTCGTGTCCGTGAAGACAAGCAGCCAGAGCAGGCCACCACCAGTGACCAGGTGAGTCCTTGGGAATGGGGTTGGTTCTGCCCAGGAGCCATAGAGGTTCGAGTAGCTGGGGAGGAGCTGCTGATTCCCCCCTCCTCCTTCTCAGGTGGCCTGTTTGTACCGGAAGCAGAGTCAGATACAGAACCAGCACAACTCAGACTTGGACTCCGACCTTGAGGACTGCTATTAACCCCCTGGCCTCTTGGGTCTGGGGCAGAGGTTGAGGGAATCTGGGTACTGTTTGCCTGGTGGTGTTGATTGGTGTGTGTGGGGAAATAGGGGTGGGATACTGGGGCTGGGATGCTTCCTTGTCTTCAATAAATGACTATTAAATGCCTACTCTGTGAGGAGGTCCACACTGGGCTCTGGCATCTCTCTGTGAGCTCACGCTCGGTATAGTATATGACCGTTGCAGGTGCTGGACAAGTTCCCTGTTCCCCAAAGTCTGGCAGCTTCCAGCCACCTGTGCTGTGGAACACTCATAACATGGCCATTGCCACCTAAGTCCTAAGACTAAACAGTTTGTTTTATTTTAAATAGCCACATGTGGTCAGTGCTGATCATTGACTAGCAGTAGTTGAGCCTTCATGTTTTAACGTCTTTGAACTGGTAGCACTCTGGCAGGTTGACACTCGAGTGCTGTCTTTTGCAGATATAGGTGAGGACATTGAAACTGCCGGGGGCCACCAAATGCCCTGGCCAGGAGCACCAGTGGCTTGCCTGACAGTCAGTCCCACATCTTCCTAAGCAGGTCCCCCTTGGGAGCCGGTGATGCAGTACCAGGTGCATCTTGTCACCAGCTATCGCCTCAGAATCCTCAGTGTAGCATTTCAGTCATCACAAGAGCAAGAAGTGACTGTGTCTTCTTTGCTCGTGGCTGCGCCCTGAACGTACTGTCTGGTGTATGTGTGGCAGGTGCTCAGAAGTAGTAGCTGAGTGCCAGCCTCCTTTGGCACATGACCAGAGACCAGGCATCACTGCTAGTCTTCCCCCAGTGGCCTGTTCCTTCTCTCTGTGCTTCAGGAGGGACTGCAGTCCTCACAGAGGTGCAGATAGCCCTAGCCAGTCTGTAGTCCCTTGAGGGTCACCCGAGGCTGCAGCAGACATATTGTAGAACTTAGGCAGATGAGATAGAAAGGCTCCTAAGATGGGAGGGAGAATGTTCTTGAAAGCCCTGCTTTTCTGAGATGGTCCCAGGAAGAACGGGGCACTGGCAGCTTTCTAGGGACCTGGAGCAGGTAGCTCTCTGGCCACCAGCTGGAGGGGACATGGGCCAGGAGGAGGGTAGACAGCCAGGCAAGTCCAGGTTTGCACAGCTAGAGCTGTTCTGGTGGGACACAGTGAAGCCTGTCTTAGTTGGGTTTTCTTTTTTTTTTTTTTTTTTTTTTTTTTTTTTTTCGAGACAGGGTTTCTCTGTGGCTTTGGAGGCTGTCCTGGAACTCGCTTGGTAGTCCAGGCTGGTCTCGAACTCACAGAGATCCGCCTGCCTCTGCCTCCCGAGTGCTGGGATTAAAGGCGTGCGCCACCAACGCCCGGTTTAGTTGGGTTTTCTATTGCTGTGATAAAACACCATGACCAAAAGCAACTTGAGGAGGAAGGAGTGTCTTTCAGCTTAAAGGTTCACTTCACTATCATTGAGGCAAGTTAACAGTTGGAACCTGGAGGCCACAGAGAAGTGCTGCTTACTTGCTTGCTTGGCCTATTGTTTTTTGTTTAATAAATTTTATTTAAATTAGAAATAATCTTATTTATTTTACATATCAATCCCAGTTCCCTCTCCCTCCCATCCTCCCATGCCTCCCACTGACCCCCCCCCATCCATTTCCCAGGAAGAGTGAGGCCTTCCATGAGGGATCATCAAAATCTGTCAAGTTATTTGGAGCAGGGCCTTGGTGCTCCCCCATGTATCTAGGCTGAGAGAGTGTCCATCCATGGGAAATGGGCCTCCGGAAGTCCTTTCATGAATAGGGATACATCCTGGTTCCACTGCCAGAGGCCCCATAGACTGCCCAGTGCTCCTAGCTGACATCCATGTTCAAGGGGCCTGGTTTGGTCCTATGTTGGTTCCCCAGCTGTCAGACTGGAGTCCATGATTTCCCACTAGCTCAGGTCAGCTGTTTATGGATTTTCCCAGCTTGGTCTTGATCCTTTGTTCATCACTCCTCCTTCTCTGAAGCTGGATTCCTGGAGTTTGGTTCAGTGTTTAGCTGTTAATCTCTGCTTCTGCTTCCGTCAGCTACTAGATGAAGGCTTTAAGATGATATTTAAGGTAGTCATCATTCTCATTATTAGAGAAGGGAATTTAAGGTAGCTTCTCCACTAGATTGTTAGTTGGGGCCATCCTTGTAGATCTTTGGACATTTCCCTAATACCAGATTTCTCTTTAAACCTATAATGGCTCCCTCTATTATGGTATCTCTTTTCTTGCTCTCCGTTTATTCTTCCCCTGACTCAATCTTCCTGTTCCCTCATGTCCTCCTCTCCCCTCCTTTTCTCCCATTCTCTTTCTCCTAACCCTCCCTCCCTCCCCCATGATCCCAATTTGTTCAGGGCCTCTTGTCCCTTTTTACTTCACTGGGGGACTGTGTATGTCTCTCTTAACAGTCCTTGTTTCCTAGCTTCTCTGGAGGTGTGGTTTGTAGGCTAGTAATCCTTTTCCTTATATCTAATATCCATATATGAGTGAGTGCATACCATGTTTGTCTTTTGTGACTGGGTTACCTCACTTAAGATGGTTTCTTCTAGTTCCATCCATTTGTCTGCAAATTTCAATATTCCATTGTTTTTTTCTGCTGAGTAATACTCCATTGTATAAATGTACCACATTTTCTCCATCCATTCTTCAGTTGAGGAGCATCTAGGTTGCTTCCAGGTTCTGACTATTACAAATAATGCTACTTTAAACATCGTTGAACAAATGTCCTTATTGTATGAATGTATATCCTTTGGGTATATGCCTAAGAGTGGAATTGCTGGATCTTGAGGTAGACTTGTTCCCATTTTCCAGAGAAACTGCCATACCGATTTCCAAAGTGGCTGTACAAGTTTGCACTCCCACCAGCAGTGGAGAAGCGTTCCCCTTTCTCCACATCCTCTCCAGCATAAACTGTCATCGGTGTTTTTGATTTTAGTCATTCTGGTGTGTGTAAGATGATGTCTCAGAGTTGTTTTGATTTGCATTTCCCTAATGGCTAAGGATGTTGAGCAATATCTTAAGTGTCTTTCAGCCATTTTAGATTCCTCTATTGAGAGTTCTCTGTTTAGTTCTTTACCCCACTTTTAAATTGAATTATTTAGTGTTTTGGAGACTAGCTTCTTGAGTTCTTTGCATATTCAGCCCTCTGTCAGATGTGGGGTTGGTGAAGATCTTTTCCCATTTTGTGGGCTGCCATTTTGTCTTGTTGACTGTGTCCTTTGCCTTACAGAAGCTTCTCAGTTTCAGGAGGTCCCATTTATTAATTGTCTATTTCAGTGTCTGTGCTACTGGTGTTGTGTTCAGGAAGTGGTCTCCTGTGCCAGTTTGTTCAAGGATACCTCCTATTTTCTCTTCTAAGAGGTTCAGTGTGGCAGGATTTATGTTGAGGTCTTTAATCCGTCTGGACTTCAGTATTGTGCATGGCGATAAACATGGATCTATCTGCAGTATTCTACATGTCCGCATCCAGTATGTTGCTTGGCCTGTTGTATAGCACCCAGAACCAGCAGCCCAAGGGTGGCACTGCTCACAGTAAGCAGGTGCTTCTGACATCAATCACCAGTCAAGAAAATGCCCTAGGCAGCATAATGGAAGCATTTTGTCAAGATTCCATCTTCTCAGGTGTCCCTACCCTGTGTCAAATTGACACAGAATCCAGCTGTCAGAGATCCCCCTTAAAAGCAATTGTCATGGTCGAGGGAGATGGTCAGGAAAGTGCTTGCTAAGCATGAAGACCTAAGTCCAGACTGCTCCAGGACTCCAATTTAGGGCGGGGGTTCGGGGTGGGGGAGAGTCCCTGCAGGGAGACAATAGAGACAGCAGGGTTCCTGGGGCTTACTGGACCAGCTGGTCCAGCTGAATTGCCAGGCTCCGGATTAAGTGAAAGACCAGACCCACCTCAAAAGTGATTGAGGAAGATAGCTGACACTAACTTTGAGCATGCACAAGCACATGCATGTACCTGCACACCCATGTGAATACACTAATAGGAGCACGTGCATAGGCAAAAACAGATGTCTGGGGTTTTCCGTTGGCTGCAGTTGACACCCTGCTTGGACTGTTGTAGGAGTTAAATAAGGTAAGGCAAGAAGGAGCCCGGCCAGCACAGTTCTCATGTGACCCAGTTGTGCAAACCTGAGCCTGAACCAAGTGACTCTGCCTCCCTGCCTTGCCAATGGTTTCCCTCTCATATTCTCACCAGCGAGCCCCACTGGTTTTAAATGATCTCCATTTAACAGGTGGAGATCGCTCTCTGGGTGATGGGGGAGGGGTGAGGCAGGCTTTGGTTTGGGCCATCTGCTTCAGGCCACATATGAACGGTAAGTACGCCGTGAGGGCCTCGTACACACCCACGGGAATATGGAACCTGCTCCATTCACGTCTGCAAAGAAGGAATCATGCTGACGTCTAGAGGATTTGGACACTGAGGAGACAAGCCTGGAGTTGGGTGAGCAGTGGGCACATGAATCTTCCCCAGAGAGTGAAATCCTTCCCAGCTTAAAAGTTGTCGCAGGCCTGTCTAGATGGGGAGATGATAGAACGGGAGTTTGGGTGTGTGTCAGAGGGCATCATGGGAGGCTGAAGAACCGGAAGCAGCTCTCCCAGTTCAAGGTGAATCAGAATGAGCAGACCCCGGTCACGTGACCACACCTGCTACAGAAGTTGCTCGGAAGTGTATTTATCCTGGGAAGGAGATTCTAAATCACCCAGCTGTGAATGCAGCTCACCACATTTTCCCTTATGGACGAGAAATGAGTCAGACTTAGTCTTCAGCCACCCCCCTCCCATGAAGCTATTCTATTGGTACAATTATTTTCCATGTATTCCAGTAAAAGAAAGCCTTACCTTCATCGGAATACTGTTGCTTGCTATAAACCTCAGCTAGCAAGTAGTGGATTGAGATTTGGCCAGTGCCCTCAAACCCTGAGGACTTCTCATGTACTATGATATAAATGTGCCTCTCTTCTTAGCTGAAGATATCATACTTTCTTTGTGGGCCTCCTAGACCACTAATAATAAAACTAAGCGAGCTTGCCAGCTGCCTGAGAGTCTAAGGGGTGGCTAAGATAATCCCAGGGAACAGTATCTGCTTTCAAGGGCCATTCCTTTATCTGGAACTTGTCCGTCACTGCCCCGTATCATGGCTTGTAACGAAGAGGTCATTGTCCTAGGCATGCTGCCCACCACCTTGCCTGCAAAGCTTCCTGCCATCTTGGCACCAAAATCAAAGCAACAGCTCAGGTTGCTGCCAGGAACACCCCATTTTTGACAAGTTAAGGGTATGTGGTGACTATTCTAGGGCTAATTTTCTTCCTAGCAAAGTAGGACCCTGGCTGAGGGCTGGCCGACAGCAGATGTTCCGCCCTCCTTCCACAGACTTAGAAAACTCCTTGAAGACAGAAGGAGCTTTGCCGTATCATCCAGAAGCTAAAAGAAGACTAGAATTGTCACATGAAAACAGGAACGTGCTGTTTAGCAAGGCAACACAGCTCCAGAGACAGCCATGAGCGTAACACTACCTCATTTGGGTCCAGGGAATTAGGAATCAATAGTCAGGTGCAGGCAGGCTCAGGAATCAACAGAATGCTTCGGAAATGGGTCCCCAGAGGGTGACTGGTCAGTAGACTTTCAGGTGAGTGCCTGTTGACATGAGGCTGGCCCATTGTCTGGTTTTGTTTTGTGTAGTTGGGTTTGCTATGTAACTCATTCTGGCCTCTTAGCTTATGACCCCTTCTTCTTACTTAGTGCTGGGATGACATGTATGCACTATACTTGCCCATTGTCTGGCTTTTAGAAAGTCTTTGTTGCTGGGTCAACACTGGTTTAAGTCTGGAATACTTTTTTTTTATTTTAATTTTTAAATTAAACTTAAATTAGAAACAAGGTTGCTTCACATATCAATCCCAGGTCCCTCTCCCTTTCCCTCCCCTCCAATATCCCCTCATTTCCCCAGGGAGGGCGAGGCCCTCCATGGGGGTGTCCATAGTCTGTCTTTTCGTCCAGGGCAGGGCCTAGACCCTCCCCTGGGAGTCCAGGGTTGGAGTGCCTCTCGGAATACTTTTACAGCAATTCTTTGAAAACAATAGTTCAATGTTCTGGCCAAGGTCTAGTCCTCTTCTTCCTACCTGCCCCCCCCCCCATTTATCGCAGAATTTTTTTTTTACTATATTCATTTATTTGTATGGATTCCATAGCATACATGGGGAAGTCAGAGGACAACTTGGGTTGGGGGGGTGGAGGGGGGATGATTCTTTCTACTATTTGGATCCTAGGGAGTGAACCTAGGTCATTAGGCTTGGCAACAAGCACCTTGATCAACAAAGCTGTCTTGCTGGCCCTTTGTTTTGTTGGTATATATTCATTGAACACAGTACTGAAAACCCATAAAAACATTTTCATACCATTCTATGATGTACTTTAACCTTGTTTCCCCCCCTTCTCTCTCTCTCTCTCTCTCTCTCACACACACACACACACACACACACACACACACACACACACACACCACGTCCCCTTCTTTTTCCTTCTCCCTATATAAAATCCAAGAACCACGAATGTAATAATTGCCTTTCTGGGCCCGGGATTTCATCTCATAATCTGGAATTTTAGCCATTTTCCTGCAATTGACATTCCTTATGGCTGAATAAAATTTATTTTATTTCCCTTCAGCAAAGTTCCCTGGAGTAGTATAGTTGGATCTTAGGGTAGATCTGTCTTTTTTATTTTATTTTATTTTTTTAGGGAATTCCACCCTGATTTCTATAGTACAAGTACTAATTTACATTCTTATCAACCTTGGATAACGTTCCCTTTGGTTTGACTCCTCCTCATCTTTAACTTGTTTCCTTAATGATGGCTGTTCTGAGTGGAGAGAGATAGACTCAATGTAGTTTTAATTTGCTTTTACTCAATGGCTAGTGATGCACTTTTTGGCTACGTGGTTATTTATACTTCATCTTTTGAGAACTGCTCATTTTATTGATTGGGTTTGATTTCTTGGTATTTGTGTTTTGAGTTCTTTACATAGTGTAGATGCTTTCTTCAATCTGAAGAAAGCAAAGATTTCCCTAATTCTTCAGACTGTCTTTTCACTCAACTTTTATCTTTTTAATTTTTTAAAAGTATTTTTTGCTATGCACAGCTTTTAAATTTTGAAATCCCCCCCCCCTTTTTTTTTTTGTAATTCTTGGCATTATTTTCTGAGTATCTGGAATCATTGTCAGAATGTCCACACCTATTCCTGTATCTTGAAATGACTTGCCTACTTTTTTTAAGATTCATTTTACATTCTAACCACAGTTCTTCCTCCAACATGAGTTTTAGGTCTCTTGATTGCTGGGTAATGGGCTCAGGTCATGAGGAATTGAGTCAGGGTGTATTTGGCAGTAGCCCCAAGCCATAAAGAATTGCTTTGCCCAAGCCAGACCATTCAGCTCCACCTGCTGCAGAAACAATATGTCTGTGTATTGGAAACAACTCACCTTGTTCCCAGTCTACAAAAGCAGCTATAGGTACCTCCACATCTGCATGTCTCTCAGCTTCGGTGAAGGCGACCAGCCTTCATCCTGAGGAGAGGCTGGGGCCCTTGCTGTTCAGTGAGGCAGTCTCAGTCTGTGGACATGGATGGAGTCTGTCTCTTTGCCTTGCATTTCTTACAAAAGATGTCTGGTCCATTTGGAACACACCTGTGTGAGGTGAGAGAGATTTGGCTTCATTATTTTGCTTGTGGATTCACAGTTATTCTAGTACTGTTTGTTTTAGAGAGCCTATTTCTCTATATTTTCCGTATCTTTGTCAAAAATCAGGTGTCTGTACCTGGGGGGTTGGGGGGCGGGATTCTGTGCTGGTTCCATCCTGTGTTTGCTACTGTAGCCCGGCTGAAACCCTAGTTTTCTTATGTATAAAGTGATAATCATGCCTGCAGCAGATGTGAGTATGAAATTTCAGATGGACTAATGATGTATAGTGTTGAATAGCTGACAGTTATGCTATGCTGACAGGTCACTTACTGTCCTTGATTCTTTCTCTGTAAATGAGAACAAAAGGCCATATTTTGTGGTTACCAAAGTCACTACAAAGGGCCATGAGAATTAGATGAGTAACTACATAAAATGTACTTCAGGTGAAGAGATGGACACGGTAACAGCAATGGTGACATATACTGAATCCAGATAGCAGACAGGAACACAGGAAAATGAATGTGTCTGGAAATACATGTTCAGGATTTTTTAAAAATTGTCAAAAGCTTAGAATCCATTAGAAAAAAATTATTTTTTTTATATTGACATGCAGCCTCGATGTTTTCATTGCAAAGCTGAGGAGGAGGGCCCTCTCTGTATTCACTGCTTGTAGACAATGCCCCTTGCTTGGAATAGGTTTTGCTGGCAGGAGTGGAAGGGGCTGAAAATAGGAATCACTGGCCACTGGACACCATCAAAAACCTACGAAACAAGTTCTACTTTGTATCTTGAATAATGAATTTGTAACAGGACTTAATGGCATTTGAGAATGGTCTTAGCAAATTTTGTCAAATTAATACCTATTCTCGACTTAAAAATATCACAAATTGGCTTTAAGAGATCATATAAATAAGGGAGAAGTGAGGGGGAAGGGAGAAGGGGGAACCGAAGCTTGTATATACAATGAAAAAAATTTTTAAATAAAAATATTATATAAATAGCAGGAGTAACACACCATTAATCATTTGAGCAGAAATTCCAGAGTTTCATAGCTATAGAAATGGACAAATATTTCCAATGACTTAGTAGAAGGGTGTGGCAAACTAGCTAGAGACAGGCTGGGCAGTGGTTGCAGCACACCTTTAATCCCAGCACTTAGGAGGCAGAATTGGATCTCTGTGAGTTCGAGGCCAGGCTGGTATAAAGAGCAAGTTCCAGGACAGATTCCAAAGCTACAGAGAAACCCTGTCCTGAAAAACAAAACAAAACAAAACAGCAACAACAACAAAAAAGCTAGAGACATACTTTGGATTGGCAAGGGAGGAATTAGCCCCGTTCCAACATTGCTGCAGGGTGGGAATGCCATTGTTGCTGATGTTTTCATTTGGCCTGGAGTGTCATTGCTAACTAGACGGAGGAGTCTCCAAATCAACCCCTTGCTTCACTTGTCTTGTCACTTGCATGTGACATACTGTGCTGAAATGGAGGTCAGTGTGCAGGGTTCTTTTCAGTCTCTCAGATCTTGGTCGTGGTAGTACCCCTGAGCATCTTTCTTAAGAAATCCTGAGCCTGCTCTTGGCCGGTAGCAATGGTTAATCATTTGGGGAATGCTTGCTTGAAACTATCAAAGCAGACTGACTTCCCTGGAATGCCTTTGATCTCTTTCCTCCCTTTCATGGTGGGTGGTGCCAAAATAAGAGTAACTGGCAGCTGTCAGGCCCATTCAGACTTTGTGACTATGCCAAACCAGTAGATGACCAGACCCAGGTTTCCCACACTCTGTTCTGGATTCTAGACACTGGACAAGTGTCTAGAGTTCTACAGTCCTCCATATTTCCTAACCTAAGCTCCTGTACTTTCCCTCTCCTAAGGATAAAAGGACTTTAAAACCTCTACTGGATTACACGAGTGTTCCTCTGTGGTGTGTGTGTGTGTGTGTGTGTGTGTGTGTGTGTGTGTGTGTGTGTGTGTGTGTGTGTGTGTGTGTGTGTGTCTGTCTGTCTGTCTGTCTGTCTGTCTGTCTGTGTATGTGTTATCATAGGTGCTGGGCTGAAGCCTGGTCACATTGGCCCTCAGGGACAATTGATGTTTTTAAAAATTAGTTTTAAAAGTTGGCATTCAAAGCAGTGTGTTTCATTGTGGCGTTTCTATACAATTTTTGTTGCTCTCCTTCCTTCCATTCCCACACTTCTCTGTCTGCTTGTGCTGGTCTTCTTCCTCTTCTCTGGCTCCTCTTCCCAGTTCCACAGTCCTCATGATGGGAGCTTGAAATCACCTTGGTGAGACTATTGACACCACAGGAGTAGCCAGGTGCTGCAAGTCAGGGTCTCTGTTACCAAACTGGGAGTCATAGTCTCTACCCCAGCAGGGGAAGTTGGGTAACATCTTACCAATACAGAAAGACGGTTAAATGAGTACTAGCACACCACCAAATGCACAATATTTACAAATGTGATATATATATGTATGTATATATATAGTGTATATTTGTAAATATATGTACTTTGATTTGTATGTTCACATATGTATATGTGTCACTATAAATACGGATATAGTGTGTATCTGTAAATATGTAGTAATATAGTATGAAGATGTGTATGGATGTTAGATACCTGTAAATGTGTAATATATCTATATTTGTGTACTTGAATATCACCAGACACACACACACATATATAGCATATATATGTATAGGTATATAGTATATATGTTTTATATGTCCATATAATATACAAGTGTGTATATGTAATTGTACATATATGTATATAAATGTATATATGGCATGTATATATGTACTATATGTATGTAAATAATATGTATAGTTTATAGTTATGGTGTGTATGTGTCTTGTATGTGTGTATATATAGTGTGTGGTGAATGTATATAGTGTGTATATAACAAATGCATGTGCATGTGGTATGTATATGTAATGTGTGTGTATAGTGTATACTATATGTATATATATTATAGTGCTATATATTTGCTATTTTTAAATTTCCAAGTTAGTTCTGGAAAGACATGAGAAAAGCAGTAACAAGTTAGGCAACTTGTTAGGAAGAGAAAATGTAGTTTCTTAAGGATAAGAGAGAGGCGCCTGTAATCCCAGCACTTGGGAGGCAGAGGCAGGTGAATCTCTGTGAGTTCAAGGCCAACATGGTCTACAGAGTGAGTGCAAAGACAGGCCCCAAAGCAATACAGAATAACCCTGTTTCGGAAAAAAAAAAACAACAGCAACAAAAGAATAAGAGAGGCTTGGCAGTGGTGGTGCATGCCTTTAATCCCAGCACTTGAGAGACAGAGGCAGGTGGATCTCTGAGTTTGAATCCAACTTGGTCTGGTCTACAGACAAGAGTTCCAGAGCAAGCAGGACTACACAGAGAAACTCTGCCTTGAAAAACAAAACAAAACAAAAAACAGAGTAGAAGGGAGATTCCACATCAATCCCTATAGTGATATTTTGTTTGTAATCTAACAAATACAGCTTGCCTGAAGATCAGAGTGTGGAGCTAAGCCACTAGTTAGCTTCAAACCTAGTTAAAAGCTAAGCCACAGCCAGGCGTTGGTGGTGCATGCCTTTAATACCAGCACTCGGGAGGCAGAGGCAGGCGAATCTCTGTGAGTTTGAGGCCAGCCTGGTCTGTGAGTTCCAGGACAGCCTCCAAAACAATACAGAGAAACCCTGTCTCGAAAAACCTAAAACAAAAAACAAACAAACAAAAAAGAAAAACTAAGCCACTAGGTAGCCACACATACACTAAGCCACTCGTTAGCCATAGAGAACAGGCAGTAGTGGCCACACCTTTAATCCCAGCACTCAAGAGACAGAGGTAGATGGATCTCTGAGTTCAAGGCCACCCTGGGCTACATGAGAGTGAATCAACCTAAAAGAACAACAGAGCTCACACCTTTGATCCCAACACTTGGGATGACATCCCTTTAATCCCACCACTAAAGAGGAATATCAGACAGGAACTCAGTGCAGGGCAGTTTGAAATTTGGTGGAGAGCATTGTAGTCTGCAGTCACGCTGAGGGCAAGATCACACCTCTTTGGTTTTAGCCTTGGTAGAGGTTAAGAACTCTCTAGTGGCTTGGCTGCTTTGCTTTTCTGATCCTCAGTTTGAACACCAATATCTGTCTCTGGGTTTTTATTATTTGTGCTGCAAATCCCTTTTCCATGTTTGATTTTTACCACCACCTGGTAATAACTCATAAGATTAATGATTTACACTTAGATGTTGCTTACTGTTTGCAAGGTAGGTTGTAAATGATTGTACTTATGTCTTAGGTAGATGCACCACAAGACAGATGCTGTTGTCTGCAGTTTACAGATGATAACCTTGAGACCTTGGCTAGTTAAGTATTTTCTAGAACAATTAGCAAGAATTAACATCCCCATTCTGTAGGCAATGATGTTGAGACCCTGGCAAGTTAAGTGATCATTTTCTGCAGAATTAATGGAGTAATGTCCTTATCTACAAAGCAATTGCCCTGTGACCCTGCTGAGTTAGGTAACCATTTTCTGTGTTTTGCAAACACAAGGTGTTACAAGTCACCTTTGTAGGTGCTGTGCTTGGCCAAGAGGAGAGTAAGAACAGTGGAGTGGAAGGCAGTCTTAGTGTGCTGCTGTGTCCTGGGACACGCTTCACATTTGTCATTTGAATATCGTAATCTACTGACAAAATCACTGCCTACTGTCAAGATGCGGAATCTGAACTCACAGACTATTTCTCATGCCAGTGGAGCACCTGACAGAGCAACTTAAGGAGGAGAGGATTTCCTTTGACCCATTGTTAGGGATATGAAAGCACCATGGTAGGGAAGGCATGGAGCTGGGACCCTGTCCTAGGGGGTTGGGATTCATTAGTAAATCTGCTAAGGGGATTTGTACAAAATAAAGTGAGATGACATGGTTACGAAGTTAGTTGCCCTTCCCATGAAGCACAGAGCTAGGCCAGAAGGGATGCCAGCCTGCAATGTGGAAGGCCCACTGTGGTCGTTGTCCTACATCCTCCGGCTAGGTCCCTGTGTTCTAAAAGTTCCACACACTCTCAAAACAGTGGCATCAACTGGGAACCAGATATCAAGAAACATGAGTCTGTGGTGACATTTCACAAGGAGACCGCAACGGGGAGGGTCTTGGTGGTCACTGGAACCGGCATTTGGTCTCAGTCTGTATTTTTCTCAGGGCTCTCTTGAGCACAGATACGGGGAAAAACAAAAAGAAAGAAAGAAAGAAAAGAAAGGAGGGACAGGGCAGATGCCGAGAGTGCTTCCAAGAGAAAGGCTGTGAGGAGCAAGACCAAAAGGGAAGGGAGGGAGAGAGCACCAGAAAATAAGATGGTATGAGAGAGATTTTATGGTAGGGCCATCACCAGAGAGGAGGAGAGAAGAGGGCAGAAGGGTAAAATCAGGGCCGGACAGTGGTGACGCACACCTTTAATCCCAGCACTCTGGAGGCAGAGGCAGGCGGATCTCTATGAGTTCGAGACCAGCCTGGACTACCAAGGGAGTTCCAGGACAGCCTCCAAAGCCACAGAGAAACCCTGTCTCGAAAAAAACCAAAAAAAAAAAAAAAAAAAAAAAAAAAAAGAAGGGTAAAATCAGACACAGTCTTCACAGAGTTAAATGAGGGCTGTCCATGTGGCCCTGAGTTGAGACCTGTCAGAGCCCGGTGTGCTCAGCAGTGTGTATGCAATGAGTACTGTGACATCCTCTCCCAGAATCTGTTAGTTGTCAATAGATCAGGAGGAAGTAGTAGGGTCTGGTGAGCCACTTCTATAGCTGACACTAAAAAGCTAGTAAATATGGGGTGGGGCTTTGTAAGGAATAAAGGGAGATGGCATGGGTGGGAGGGAAACGAAAGAATGGGGAAGGGGGACCCAGAAGACATTATATGCCATTATATGCATGTATGGAACTGTCAAAGAACATAACCTTTTTTTTTTTTTTTTTTTTTTTGTTGGTTTTACGAGACAGGGTTTCTCTGTATTGTTTTGGAGGCTGTCGGTCCAGCCCGGCCTCAAACTCGAGATCCGCCTGCCTCTGCCTCCCAAGTGCTGGGATTAAAGGCGTGCGCCACCACCACCCGGCCATAACCCATTTTTTAAAAAACTGTCTATTCTTTAAGAATTTTGTACAGTGTGTTTTGCCCATTATTCACCCCCCAACTCCTCCCAGATCCACCCTCCCTTCCCTAATCACCCAACATGTGTCCTCTTTAATTTCCCCCCACCCACCAAGTCCCATTTGTGTTGCTTATAGGTTCACGAGAAGTTAAATACTGTATTTACATCATTTCCGCCTGTCCATTTTCTCACTCTAATTTGTGCTGCATTTTTCCCTCAAATATTTGACCTGTTCTTTAATACATAGATCACACACACACACACACACACACACACACACACACACACCTTAATGGGTCTATATAATGTTGCTTGTATCTACATGTTCTTAGGAGGACCACTTGAAGTTTGATAACCTGTTTGCACTGGTGCATCCTTTGAGAAGACTGCCTCTCTCTCTCTCAGCAGCCATTAATTAATTGCCTATAGCACTTCATCAAGGAATGGAGCCGTGTGAGATTTCCCCCACACATGTTTGCATATTAACTAGAGTTTTCAGTATGCATGCCTTGTTTGGATAACCATTTCATTGAGATTTCATGAGTTACAATTTCCTTGTCATGTCTAAAAGAACAAGATTTATTAGTATAATATCAGTCCTGGTGGAAACTATAACATAAATATCACCATATTTCCACCTTAAGTATAAGTTTTTATTGTTCTAGAGACGATGGGTGGGGGAATTGAAAGCTTTAATGCAACCTGAATGTGTGTCCAGTAATGTTTTGAGAAACCAGAGAAATCAGTGGGAGAACCTGTGTGCCCTTTGAGGCAATTGAGGCAATATATATAGCATAGCTCTAGCATAAGTGCTTATCTTTCTACCTAACTTTAGTCCTAGGAACAAGATTTCCAAGTAGGCCCCTTTTGGTACAGTTTCCAAGTAGTTCTTTACCGCACCCAAAGTGTACCAGCTTGCAACACAGATAAGAACTAGAAAGCACCCTTCTCTCCCTCCACAGGCTGGGTTTCCTTTAAGTGCACCACCCAGGCATTTGCCTGATAACTTGAAGCAACCCAAGACCTAGCCCTCAGTATATATTGTTGGTTACCACTCTTTTCCATCTCTCTCTCTGTGCTGGAGGCTGTGGAGCATCCCCAGGATCTGTAAGTACCAAAACCTTTTTAACCAGACTTCCTCTTGCTTGTGTTTGTGTCACTTGAAGCAGCTGGGTCCTTGCTGGTTACAACAGCTACCAGCTCAGTTGCTAGAGAAATTCAGGTAGTACAGGGATGGAGTGATTGATAAATAGAATAAAAATAGCCCCAGAACCTTGAAATAAAAAGCGAATCTTGTGTTGGACTTGTGAATCATATCACCACTGATAGCCACTGGCAATAGCAACTTTCAACTGGTAGTTTTTTTCCTTAGAGCTAGTTTTGTCTGACAGAATTTGGCTCTTTTTATGAGCTCATCCCAGAGGATGGAGACGTCTTTGGTGGATGAACGTGTGTGGAAAAGCTGGTGAGGTCCAGGTGTCAAGTCCTCTAGAAGGACTTGAAACTCCTAAGCCCTTTCCAGATTGGGACAGGGCAAGGACAGGTCAGGAGTCACGCTAGCCCTAGAATCCTCTGCTCTTCAATGGTTGGGGTGCAATCACATGGAGCCTCCTCCCCAGTGTCCATCAGGGAGTCTGGGTTTTTCAGTCTTCAAGTTAAGGGTGGGGTGTAGGTGTAGAGGGAGGAGAAACAGTGTGGACTATCCTCCAGGATGGTGCTAAGTTCACGATAATGTCTTTGTCCTCTAGCTTAGCTATATCAATAACCTCACTTTGAGTAAATCACTGCCCTTCTGGGCTGAGGAGCCAACGACTGAAGAGACAAAAGCATTTGGTTCAAAGCCAGAGAACCTTCTAATAGCCTGACTTTCAACAAGGACCCAATTGCTCTTTTCTGTGCCTCACCTCAATTAAAAAAAAAAAAAAAGACTATGAAGCCAGGCGGTGGTGGCGCACGCCTTTAATCCCAGAGGCAGGCGGATCTCTGTGAGTTCGAGGCCAGGCTGGACCGACAGACAATACAGAGAAACCCTGTCTCGAAAAATCAAAAAAAAAAAAAAAGACTATGAATTCAATCCATGGATGACAGTTATTGATAATCACTACAAAGTAAGGCTGGACTGGTAGCCTGATCTGCCTTAAGGAGTATTCATCTAGGTTCATTTCTACAGAAACCACAGCTAGGACCGATACTGACCTCAGAACGCCCATCAACTCACCACAAAGTGGGACATTGAAAATAGTTGAAGAATTTGGGAAGATGAACCCTGAAGAGTCTTCCAAATCACAACCGTGCAGTACACATGAGCGGTAAGTCACGGGTGTAATTTAACTTTTAATGTTTTTTTAATCACATTTCTGAATGTGAAAGGGTGTGCATGTACCACGGTATATATGTGGTAGTCAAAGACAACTTATGGGAGTCCTAGGAATCAAATTCAGATCATCGGGCTTGGAGACAAGTGCTTGTGGTAGTATATTATTTATGATTTATTAAAGCTTGCCTGAGGATTCAGAAAGCAAAGTCAGCCTCAAGCTATAGAGATAGTGGTATTCACCTTAAATCCCAGGACTCAGGAGACAGAGGCAGATGGATCTGTCTGAGTTCAAGGCCACCCAGGGTCACATGAGATTGAATCAGTCTAAAAGTGTAACAGAGCTCACGTCTTTAATCCCAGCACTAGAAAGATATAAAAGATAGAGTAGGGTCTTCAGTAGGCCCTACCTCAATGTATCTAGGCTGACAGAGTAGCCTCGTTATAGGTCCACACTGCTGTGCCTGGCTTTGTTACATGGATGCTGGAGATTGAACTCAAATCTTGCTCAGCCAACATTTTCCTGAGCAAGTCATCTCCCCATCTCTCTCTTTAGCCTTTTTGGGATCAAGCATCACTGTGAGGCTCAGGCTAGCCTTGATCCTCAGTCAACATCCTCTTTTCTCAATTTTCTAAATTCTGGGATTACATAAGCCAGCTTCTGTCCAAAATTTTTAAGAGCCACTAAACACTTTTCTGCCATGCTATCCAGAGTATAAAGTGTAGCCATTCTTCAGTATCCATGGAGGATTGATCCCAGACCAGCACTAGCCCCCCTGCAGACACCCATATCACGAGGTGTTCTGGTCCCTTGTGCAAGGCATCATGGTATCTTCAGAGCCCACACGACCTCTTGGCCTTTTTAAAATCACTTTCAGTTCCCAGTAAGTGCCAGTTCTCTGGGAATAGGTGCTCCGCTGTCTTGTTCAGCAGATAGTGGCCGCCTGAAGATGTATGTGCCTCTTTAACGGAGCAGCAAGTTCCTCAGAGGGTCATTGAATTTGCATATGTAGACCCTGAAAATACTGAAGACCACCAAGTATTTGTAGTCATTATATCCCGAATTCTGGTATTTCAGCATGTCATGGCAAAATTTATTACTGAGATATTGTGTGTTCTTTGAAAAAAAATTTAAGATTTATTTTTAATGTATGTGTATGTGTGGATGTCTGAAGAGGGTGTTGGATCCTCTGGAGCTGGAGTTATAAGCAGTTGTGAGATGCTTCATATTGGTTCTAGGAACTGAACTTGGGTCCTCTGGAAGAGCAGCAAGCATTGTGTTTTTTAAATTCTTCTCTCAAACAATATATTACAACCAGTTTTCCCTCTCTCCACTCCTCCCAGTCCCCCCACTATGTCCTCTATCCCTAGATCCACTCCTCTTCAGTTTCAGAACACAACGTAACAGGATATACAACATAACCATGCAATAAGACAAGACACAAACCCAAGGCTGGAGGAGGCAACCCAGTAGGAGGAAAAGGGTCCCAAGAGCAGGCAAAAGAGTCAGAGACACCCCGCACTCCCACTGTTAGGAGTCCCACAGAAACCCTAAGCTAAACAACCACAACATACGTGCCTAGAGAGCCTAGGACAAATCCATGCAGGTTCTGTGATTGCTGCCTCAGTCTCTGTGAGCTGATATGAACCCTGCTTACTGGATGCTGTAGGCCATGTTCTGGTATCCTCAACCTCTCTGCCTCTGACAATCTGACAAACCTTCTTCTCCCCCAGGCTTCCCTATGAGCTCCTACATGAGCTCGGCCTAATGTTTGGCTGCGGATCTTTTCATCTGCTTCCATCAGCTTCTGGAGGAAACCTCTGTGATGATGGCTGGGCTAGAAACCAATCTACGAGTATAGCAGAATATCATTGGGGATCATTTCATTGACTTTCCCCCCTCAGATGTGCTTAGTTCTATCCTAGGTCTCTGGACTATTCAGCCTGTGGTTCCTGGCAGTGTCAGCCATGGTCTCCCTTTCGTGGCTTGGGCCTCAAGTTAGACCAGTTATTTGTTGGCCACTCCTACAAGTTCTGAGCAACCACTGCCTAGCATATCTTGTGGGTAGAACAGGTTGTAGGTCCAAGGTTTTGTGGCTGGGTTGATGTCCCAGTCCCACCACTGGAAGCCTTGCCTTGGTACAGGAGATGGACAGTTCAGGCTCCATATCTTCCATCACCAGGCGTCCTCACTAGTGTCACTCTCATAGATTCTAGGAAGTTTCCATTGCACTAGATGTCTAAATTACTCCCAAATGCCACCCAATTCCAGTAGTCTCTCCATGTTCTTTTCCACTGCCCACCCATCTCCAACCTGATCTCCCCAGTCCCATCCCCACCTGCTCCCAGTCCACCCACAAAACTGATTTCTCCTTCGCAGGGAGATCCATGAACCCCCCCCCCTTCCCACAGAGCCCTTGATTTTATTTAGCCTTTCTGGGTCTATGGATTGTAGTGTGACTATCCTTAACAGCTAATATTTACTTATAAGTGAGAGCATACCATGTTTGTCTTTCTGGGTCTGTGTACTTCACTCAGGGTGATTTTTTTCTAGTTCTGTTTACTTTTTTGCATATTCCATGATGTTTTTTTTTCTAAACTGCTGAGTAATACTCTGTTACATAAATGGACCACATTTTCTTTATCCATTCTTTGGTTGATGCACATCTAGGTTGTTTCTAGTTCCTGGCTATTAGCAGCCAGCATTTTTAATTGATGAGCCATGACTCCAGCCCCCTTAAAACAATTACATTTATTTATTTATTTGTATGAATATGTGTGAATGCATGCATGTGCCTCATCACATGTGTAGGTCTGAAGATAACTTGGGGAAGTCAGTTCTCCCTTTAGTGTGTGGTTCAGTTCATCAGAGTTGTTGGCAGGCACCTTTACCTGCAGAACCGTCTTGGCTGGCCTTTGGCTGCTCTTTGGTTTATGTTTTCAATATCTGCTATGCATGCATCTTAACCTCAGAGCCCTTGACCACATTTGCTCCTAAGCAACCTACGACTGGTAGATAGCTCTTTGGAGGACATAACTCTAGGTAATTTCTGTGTTTTACTTACTGCAAAGTTCCTGATGTTTCCTGTTTTTCTCTTTGTCCTGAGAAGCTCTGGAGTTTACTTTGCCACTGGATTTCAGGAAGCGGAGAAGGTGGCTCTGAACAATCGTAGCCCCAAGGTGCTGGAGGCTCTGCAAAAGCTGGACATCCAGGTTGACCAGGTCAGTGCACGTGAAGGGCTGTGCTGGTGAGATTGTCTCTGCTGTTCCTAGGTTCTGCAGCTCAACGGATCCAGGATGAGCAGGAAGGGCAGCTAAATATGTATGGGCTTACTCTGCTAGAGTATTGTCACGGGACAGGTGTCATCTTACTCAAGCAGGACCTTAGATGCCTGCCCTCTTGTTCCTTACATTGCTCACTGGCCCTAATTGTCCTTCCTCTAATGCCCAGGCTCCAGTCATTGCTGTCCTGGGCTCTGGTGGGGGACTGCGGGCCCACATCGCATATCTTGGGGTACTGAGTGAGATGAAAGAACTTGGCCTGTTGGATGCTGTCACATACCTGGCAGGGGTCTCCGGGTCCACTTGGTAAGTGTTGTGTGTGAGGAAGGGAGGGTGCGCCATGTTTTCTGATGTCAGAATGAGAGCATCTTCCACCAGACACAAAATGCGTGATGTCTTTTATTTTCCATCTAATTTAATTTTATATATATTAGTGTTTTGCCTAAATGTATTATTGTGCCCAAATTCTGAACCCCGAAATCACCAAGAGGCCCATTTCGATGCAAAAGCAAAGAGTCTTTTATTGAAGTTATTTAACGGATGGCTGGAAAAAGACCTCGAGCAACCTCAAGACAGGGATCTTAAAGGGCAGTGTAAGGGCAGTATCTAGGGGTATGAAACAGTCTCAGGATTGGTGTGCTTTCAAGTTTGGTGCAGAGCCTGTGTTGATTGGTCAACTAACTGGTTGTTGTGGCCCATAGGCCCTCCCAGGGCGGTTGCTATGCTCTGCATGGCACTGTTGTGCACTTGACTGTAAAGCACACCCAGAGCCGTAAAGCTAGCTAGCTAACTTCTGATTGGTTCCTTGCCACGAGGAGGGCATCTGACCTTAGTGACCAGGACAGGAGCCGCAAGGTCATGCAAGCACATGCTACCCTGTCATGGCTGCTGAAATGGGGGGCTAGTTACTACAGTATGTCTGGGTGAGGGTGTTGGATCCCCTGGAACTGGAGTTGAACCTGAGCCCTCTGGTGGACCAGTCAGTGCTCTTGACCACTGAGCCATCTCTGCAGCCCCTATTCTCCATTTCTTAAAAGGACAGATGACAATTGTGTATCTTGTGTTGTATGGTGTGATATTTCGGTTTGTAGTAGTTGTGCACTGATCAGTTGTGTTTTCACTTTTCTTGGTGTTGCAAAATACCTGACAAAGGGGAGTTAACGAGGGAAAGGCTTCCTTTGGTTCTCAGCTTGCGAGCAGTGTCTGGCATGGCATCATGGGCACTTTGTGAAGCAGAAAGGCGGAGGTGTGCTGATGCTCAGCTCAGCTTCTTTTTGTTCCATCGGGATCCATCCTGGGCAATGGTGTGATCACATTCAGAGTGTGTCTTCTCATGCCATTTTCATGTCTCCGTAAACACCGTCATAGACTCACCCACGGATTTGCCATTTTCATGTCTCCGTAAACACCGTCACAGACTCACCCACGGATTTGCCATTTTCATGTCTCCGTAAACACCGTCACAGACTCACCCACGGATTTACCACTTTCATGTCTCCGTAAACACCGTCACAGACTCACCCACGGATTTGCCATTTTCATGTCTCCGTAAACACCGTCACAGACTCACCCACGGATTTGCCACTGCATGTGAGATGCTGGGTTGTGCATGCTCCTGTGGAGGCCTGCTGTGGCCCGAGCCAGGCAGACATCAAGTGTCCTCCATTATTGCCTCGAGACGTGGCCTCTTAGTGCCTAAAACTCACAATTTTGGCTAGGCTGGCTGGAGGATCCATCTGTCTTTGCTCTCCAGTGCTAGAGGTGCAGGCATGTTCATCCATGCCTACTTTCTAAAAATTATTAATTCAATTTACTCATTCATTTTACATCCCCAACTGTAGTTTCCTCTCTCTCCTCCCCTCCCATTCTGTTGCCCCCTTTTTCCCTCCCCCACTTCCTCAATCCATTCTTGTTTCTGTTCGAATGAAGCAGACCTCCCATGGTTGTCATCAAAGCTTGGCGTATCAAGTTGAGGTAGGACTGAGCTCCTCCCCTTGTATTAAGGCTGGGCAAGGCAACTCAGTGTGAGGAATAGGTTCCTGGAAGCCAGCCAAAGAGTCAGAGGCAGGCTCTGCACCCACCTCTAGGAGTCCCACAAGTGGATCAAGCTACATAATTGTCACATATATGCAGAGAGTTTAGGTCAGTCCCGTGCAGGCTCCTTATTTGTCAGTCCAGAGTCTGTGAGCTCCTATGAGCCCAGTTGCTTTTTTCTGTGGGTTCCCTTGATGCCTCCTGGCTTGTACAGTCCTTTCCTCTCTGCCTCAGCCCAGTGCTTGGCTATGGATCTCTGCATCTGTTTCCTTCAGTCAGTGGATGAAGGCTCTCTGATGACAACTAGGGCAGTTACCTAACTGATTATAGGAGATGCCAAACCTACTTTTTCATGAGTGTTTTGGATTCAAACTCAGGTCCCCATGCTTGCATAGCAGGCACTCTTACTCACTGAGCCACTTCCCTGGGCTGAGAGTTTTCTTTGAAATTGTGTATCAGCTGTACAGCAGGAAGGGCTTTGTTATGGTTCCATAATGCATATAATGCACTTTGATCATATTGACCTTTCTATTACTCTAATTTTCCCCTGTCACTTCTAGCATTTTCAAGTTTAAGCATTTACACTTTAGGTGGCTGGACTACAGCCCCTTATAATATTTTTGTCTTTATGGGAGACTATTGGGTTAAATCCATATAGACTTTCTTATCCGAAGGGCTCAGAAGCGCTCATGCCTAACAACCTGGTTCTAAGCCCCAGGCAGACATTGTTAATCAGTGTTGGTAGCTTTTCTGGAGCGGATAAAACTACACAAGCTGTTGAACTAATGGCGTGGAGAATGCATTGTGGCTGGCAGGAGCAGATGGCAGAAATGTAGCACTTAGGCAGCCCCTTCAGAGACCCACCTGTTGGCTTAGTTATTCTTCTCGTTGCTGTGGTAAATACTTACTAACGTTAACTTAAGGAAGGAAGAGTTTATTTGGCTCAGTTTGAGAGAGTGTGATCCATCAGGGCGTGGAAGCTATGACAGCAGGAACATGAAGCGGCTTGTCACATTCTGTCTTCATTCTAGAAGCAGAAAGCGGGGCTGGAGAGATGGCGTGTGCTTCACTTCCAGAGGACCTGAGTTCAGTTCCAAGCACCCATAACTCCATCTTCAGGGGAACTATGCTTTCTGGTCCCTGCAGGCACCTGTACTCGTATGCACATACCCACACACAGGTATCTGTACACATGTAACTACAAATGGAAACGAAGCCTAGAACAAGCACAGAGAGGTGAATTCATGTGTTCACTTTACCCTTTTTATTCAGGCCAAGACAGCAGCTCATGGATTGGTTCCTCCCACATTCTAGATTCTCAACCGGTGGGTCACCACCCCTTTGGCAAACCTCTGTCTCCAAAAATATTTACATTGCTATTCATAACAGTAGCCAAAATTACAGTTATGAAGTAGCAACTAAACTAATTTTATGGTTGGGGAACCACAACACGAGGAACTGTATTAAAGGGTCACAGCATGAGGAAGGTTGAGAACCACTGTTAGGTGCATCTCCTCACCTCCCTGAAATGCCCTTATAGGCACACATGGAGATGTCTCTCTTAGGTGCTTCTAAATCATGGCATGCTGACAATCAAGATTATCAGCATGAGGGCTGGAGAGCTAATTCAGTTGGCTAAGTGCGAACACAAGACCAGAGATTGATCCCCGGAATCCATATTTTCAAAGGCTGGCTGTCGTGGCACCTGCTTGTGATCTCGACACTGGGGGGCGCAGGGAGAGTGTGTGGAAACAGGTGGAGCCCTGCAGTTCATGAGTCAGTTAGCTTCCTCCTCTCTAGGCAAGAGAGAGGCCATGTCTCAAAAAACAAGGTGGATGGATGGCTTCTGAGGAATGACGCCTAATGTTGCCCTCTGGCTTTTACATGCATGCACACATAAGTGCGTGTGCACTCCTTTTAACCCATGCATGCACATGAAAGCACACACACACACACGCACATGCACACGCGCACGCGTGCGCACACACACACACACAGTGTCTACCTACCATCATCTCTTTGTTGCCTGAGGTTGAGCCATACTTCTCTGTCCCAACTCCAGGAGGTGCTATTGAAATAGAATTTACAGACTTCTCAGAGCTTAAGCATGACGTTGCCTGTAGGGTAATAGGAGGTGGGCCTTGCAGTCCAACAGTGGTGACAGAACTCCTACAGTGAGTCATTTCAGGCGGTATAAACCCAGCTGTCACATCTATGTACCTCTGTCTCCTGGGTTGTTAGGAGGATTACAGTTCTAATCTTGCAGGCTTGCTATGATAGGGAAAGCATCCAGATGGAGCTATGTAATAGAAATATAACTTGAATCACGTCTGTCCCTTCTGATTTTCCAAAAGCTCCACCAAAAAAGTAAAAGGATGCAGTGGCATTAATTGTACCAGTGCATTTTCTTTTTAATAATAGTTTTTTAGTTATTTGAAAATTATATGTGTATATATGTTTGTATAGTATATGTTAATCATATCCATTCCCCACTCCCGGAAGGCCCTCCCCAGCACACCTTCTTCCCAACTTCATATCTCCCCCCATTTTTACTATGACTCAGTCCATTTAGTACTTCCATATGGACGTGGGTGTGGGGACATCCTCTGGGGTATAGGAGACTTATCAGTGGCCACACCCAAAAGAAAAATGACTCCTTCCCTAAGGTGTCTGATCCATGAGTATTTCATCACGAATTCAGGTCATTAATCAGATATTTGACATTCCTTTTGTCAGACCAAGTCTTTGAAAACCGATACACATTTTAAATATTTTATTACGTTTATTTATTGAGCACATGTGTATATATTCATGTGCATATGTGTGTAACACCATGGGTGTGGAGGTCAGAGAAGCTCATTTCTCATGTGTTTCAGCCTCCCAGGAATGGGATGGAATGGCAATTCAAGTTAATAAAATTAAATTGAATGGAGAATCAATTTCTAATCATATTAATCGCATGCTGTATTAATTACTTTCCCTCATTGCTGTGCCAAAAACACCTGTTAAACCGTCCTGGAGACATGACTCAGCAGTTAAGAGCACTTGCTGCTTAGTCATAAGAACTGGAGTTTGGGTCCTAGCACCCACCTCAGGAGGCTCACAACACCCATAACTTTAGTTGCAAAGGGAGGCACTCTCTCCTGGCTTCTGTGAGCACCCTCACACCCATGTGTACATACAGATGCATACACACTCACACACACTCACACACACACAATAAAATAAGTTAGAAAAAACACTTGACAAATGTGACTTAAGTAAATGAGGGTTCATTGTGCCACCATGGGCACATGAATATATGTGTGCATACATATATATATACCTGCAGATACACACATACACATAGATACAAATTTTTAAAAATCTTAAAAATACGGAACCCGCTGGTATCAAATTTCCTTATAGGAACTGGTAAGGAGTTCTCTCTCCATCCAGGCATATTCTCAGTTTGTTTATCTAAGATCAGATAAAGCACTAAGATGGTGGGTTGTCTGAAAACAAATCCAGTTCCCTTTCAATATCTGTGTGATGCCAAGGAAGGAACTCACTCTTTGTCCCTCTCTAAACTGACAACGATCCTCTTGTTCCGTTTGATGGCTAATTATGAAGGTGATTTACTGGTTAGTTTCTTTGGTAACTGGACACTGACCAGAGTCACTTGGGAAGAGGAATCTCAACTGAGGAATTGTCGCCATCAGACTGGCATGTAGACAAGCCTTGGGGACATTTTCTGGATTGATGTTTGATGTGTGAGGACCCAGCCTACTGCAGACAATGCCACCTGTTGGGGGGAGCATTGTTGACACTGCTACCCTGCTGTGCCAATAAAGCCACCTTGAATCTAGGTGGCTGAGTGGGATTAGCTATAGAGTTGCTGGAAGACTGAGGAAGTTGAAGAGAGAGGGACAGGAAGAGAGAAGAGAAGCCGAGGGGACTTCCGAGGCTTTTGGATCTGGACAATGTGAAAAACGGTGTCAGCTGATCACCCCTCTGCTAGTACAATTTAGGTAAATGCTAGCTATCTTTAGGCTAGTGGTCCTGGGTTGTATAAGAAGTCAGGCTGAGAAAGCCATGGAGATCCAGCATCCCTCCATGGACTCTTCACTAATCCTTGCCCTGCCAGACTTCCTGCTTTGACTTTCCTCAGTGATGGGCTATAATTTGGTCTGCAAGTCAAATAAACCCATTCTGGACTTTGGGATCCCATTCCCTATGGAGAGATACTCTCTCACCCTAGATATACGGGGACAGACTTTGATGATCCCTCATGGGAGGCCTTACCATCCTTGGAGAGTGGATGGGGGGGTGGAATGAGGGGTTGGTGGTGGGCGCCATGGGAGGATGGGAGGGAGAGGAAACTGGGATTGGTATGTAAAATAAGATTGTTTTTAATTTAAATAAAAATTTACTAAAAAACCCAAATAAACCCATTCTTCTGAAAGTTGCTTTGGGTCAGCATTTTATCACAGCAGTAGAAAACAAACGAGCAATGATGTAATGGTCACATACTTGATAGATGTTTACCAAAAAAAAAAAAATACTATATGACTGTCATAGGTAGTTTTGGGATTCAGTCCCAGAGGTGGGATTCAGGGGGATATTGAGATGGATTATTAGGGTTAAAACTTTATCGGAAGTTACTATATTAGTTACTTGTCTGTTGCTGTGTTAAAATATAATGCCCAAAGTGACTGTATAAGGTATTTTTGGGGGGCTATGGTTTTAAAGGGAGAGTCTGTAGTGGTAGGGAGGCATAGCAGCTGGAACAGGAAGCTGAGAGATTACATCTTCAATGCAAACAGAAAGCAGAGAGAGTGATCTGGAAATGGGGTGAAGCTGTGAACTCTCAAAGCTCACCCTCAGTGATGTAGTTTACAGCAAGCTTCTACCTCCTGAAGGCTTCAGACCCCCCCAAAATGGTGCCAGCAACCGGGAGTCACTTCAAATACATGAATCTGTGAAAGATATTCTTATTCAAACCTCCAGTTTTTAATGCCATCTACACAGTTCACAGCAGAGTTCAGAGTCCAGCAACGAGACAGACAACATGGTGGGGTCTCTGAACAGGAGTGAGGACTTATATGACAGAGTCAGGTTCCTTCTTAGAGGTCTAGGAGGGAGGTTTCATCATGATCCCCATCATGAAAGCAATTGGGGAACAGGGTACGTGTCTATCTTTACCCTCTTCAATGTAAACTTACTTCCCCAGGTTAGAGATCCTGGTACTTGGAAATAAGTGAACTAGATCTTCACAGACCATGCTTTTAGTAGGTACCTGACTGTGTCTATATGCTGGGCAGGGTAGCAGTCTGGTCTGGAGTCTAACATTAAATCATGATGTATTTCTTCTATCTTGCTCTCATTGACCTATCTGTTAAATAGGAGAATCACGCTGCATGAGTTCTCCATGTACTGGAGTCCTTCTTTGCCCTATCTAATTTCCTCTATGGCAGTTAATTATTATTTCCCTGGTTTGTCGCATGAGAGGGGCAGTCAGGGTTAATGGCACTCTTGGGTCACTGTTCTGATCCTCAGCTTCTCTCTGTTCCCAGGGCATTGTCTTCGTTCTACATTAACAATGGAAATACGGAAGGGATGGAAGAGGAGCTAAAACAACGATATGACAACAGTTGGCAAGTTGGAGAGAGCCTGAAGAAAGCCATCCAGGCAGCAAGGAGGGAGAATTACTCCATGACTGACTTTTGGGCCTATTTTGTTGTTTCCAGGCAAATGAGAGACGTAAGTCTTTCCCAGAAGAGGATGTAGGGGGTCCCAAAAGACTTGACCAATAACTTCTTTCAGTTCTTTCTAATCTGGCCACTTTTACCTCAAGACTAAAAATATCCCAGGGTTGTAAGTAGAAGAATCAGACTCTGACTCATTTTTTCTTTTTTTGCAGTAAAATAAGTAGAAATTGTCAGAAACATCTAGGACCATCCAAAGGCATGAGGCTCCAAGGCCTCATGCCTTTCTTCCCATCTCTGTCCTTGGACATTTCTTTTCTTGAATTTACTTTTCTTTCTCCCTGTATTCATATTTTGTCCTTTACCCTAGAAAGACTGGAGTTTTCTGCATCTCCATGTCCTTAGTGGGAAAAGTTGTCCCCAGGCTCAGAGTAGCACTGTGGTCACCTCCAGGCCCTCTAGCCAGCTGGCTCTGGGATCCAGCCCCAGGTTGTCTGAGCACATCAGGTGGTCAGCTCTATTCAGAGCAGATGGCTACTATGATCCAAATGTCTGTGACTGCCAGGGTGAACTAACTCATCGTGGGTGCCTTCCTCACAGAGATGACAGTGAATTCTTTCTCCAGTGGGTTTCTTCTGGTTTCTGTGGTTTGGTTGAGTTGGATACTCTCCCATTCTTAGAAACCAGAGGGACAGACACAGCCTGAACTGTGAGACTGGAATAAAAAGAGAGAAAATGGAAGTTTCGAATGATGTTGTTTGACTGTGGCTTCTAGGGGAACAGATGCTATTCAGAACCATCAAAGAAAAGCAGGAACCTACAGTGTATTGTTTTCTCCTCTTATCCCTCCTTCCCTTCTCCTCCTTTTCCCTTTCTCACTGTCCTTTCTGTCCTTCATACCCATCTCGCCTTTCTCTTAAAATTATTTTTATTTTATTTGTATGTGAGTGTTTGCCTGTATTTGTTTAACATGCATGCAGCGCTCATGGAGACCTGAAGAGGGCACTGTATCCCTCAAAACTGACTTTATAAATGGTTAGCTGCTTCATGGGTGCTGGAAACTGAAGCTGGTGCTATATAAGTGTTGCCAATTTCTGAGCCATCTTTCCAGACCCCTCTCTGTCCTGTTTCTTCTCCACACTTCTCACTTATTAATTTTTCTTTTAAGATTTATTGATGTGCACTCTGTTGAACGTACACATATATATTTCAAACACATTTTTATGAGTTTGGACACATGCACCTATGTGTGAACTATCTCATGATCAAAGCGCTAAGCATTGATCATCTCCAGAAATTTCTTGCTTTCCTTCCTGTGTGTGTGTGTTTTTATTGGTAGGCGGAAGGTAATACTTTGCATGACAACTATCCCCTTCGGTTATGCTAAGTGGCACAAGCCGGTGACATGATTCCACTTCTCTGAGGCATCTAAGATAGTGAAACTCACAGAAATGAAGAACAGAATGGTGGTGGTCAGCACTGGGCGGTGGGGGGCAGAGGCAGATCAGAACTGTTGCCCGAAGGGGATAACATTCTACTAGGTGAATAGGGATTTGAGCTCTCTTCACTCTCAGCCCCTAAGACTGTTTTCCTCTGCAGTGGTCTCTCTGACTTTTATCCACTCTCATTCTTTGAGGGTACCCCACCTTACTCTGTAGATGAGCTCTGTCTCTTTTCTACACTGCAGAGTATGAACAGTGGTTTGTTGAGATAGCTACGGTTAAGCCTGAAGACCTGAGTTCGATCCCTGCAACCCACATGGTAGAAGGAGAACTGACTCCATCAGGAAATGGGTTTCATAGATGATGAAGAAAGAAAGCGTATTCCAGAATTAGTACAGTATGTACAAAGATCCCACCGAGTTTGGGGAGACTAAACCACCCCCATTCAGTCTGGTACTTTTTCTCCATAGCTGGAGAACTCTAATTTGTCCAGCATAAAGAAGCCTGTGGAAGAAGGAATGCTGCCCTATCCAATCTTTGCAGCCATTGATGGTGACCTACAGCCTGACTGGAGGAAGAGAAAAACTCAGAGTGAGCAAAAACTTGGAGGGGAGGGAAGGGTAGCAAGGGAATGAAAGACACTGAACAGGGTCAGTGCCCTGGCCAGCAGGGCACAACGAAGGTCTAGCCCAGAGAAACCTGGAATGAGGGCACAGGAGACAAGAGAAATGGACAGCAAGCCAACATGGCTGATCAAGCTGCAAGATTTTATTTTCTGTAGGCGCTATATAGTTTAGGGCAGGGAAACTCGGTAGGGCAGAGTAATCAAAGGAGATGGGTCGTTGCCTAGTAACCAGACCACAGAAGGTGAGCAGATACCAGGTGTTGGCAAGGTGAAAGGGTCTGAAGAAGGAGGGGCTAAGTGATCTAATTGTGGAATGTTTTCTTTTTTTGCCATCGGCTATTCCTGTGAGCCCAAGTTCTATTCATTAGGAGGCTGCGGAGGGGATGGACTATTCTTTAAAAAAGGCTGGCAATGTTTACAAGAGGTTCTAATTAACAATGATCACTCCTGACAGGGCAGAGATATAGCTCAGTGGTAGAGTGTTTGCCTTGAATGCATGGGTCCCTGAGTTCAATTACCCAGAAAGGCTCTGAGTGGAACGTATGGATGTTTCCACCAGACTGCCCCTTTGGGAGGCCCAGAAGCAAAAATGGGCTATTAGGATAGACTAGGGTGCTCCACTCATAGAGAGCAAACAGGAATCCCAGAAACCACTAGAATGCCCATACTTGAATTGGGTGACCAAGGAAGTTGAAATGTGGGTGAAGTGAGGATGCCAGGTTCGAGACTCTTTACTGTCATCTTCTCCATGGTTCCAATAACCACCCCAACACTAATGGCTTTGCTAATGTTCCATTTGTCTTTTGAGCCCTGGGATCAAGAACTCCTCACCCAGTTTACTGCATATAAAATGCATTTATTTGTTTGATGAGTTTGCCTCTATTTTTCATTATCTGTCAGGCCATGTCTCAGGTGTTTGTTCACCCTAGCATCCCAAAGCTCAGACACCCCTGTTCTATTTCTTTCCTCCCCGTATGTGTCCTTGATCTTGTTTCATCTCTGTTGCTGTCACAACTACTGTAACAAAAAGCAACCTAGGGAAGAAAGGGTTTGTTTGGCTTACAGTTCCAGGTTATGGCTCATTATTTCAGGGAAGTCAAGTCAGGACTCAGCATATCACATCCACAGTCAAGAACAGAGAGATAATAAGCACATGAATCCTTATTTTCTTGCTTGCCCTGGGCTAGTTTTCTCTCCCTTTATATTGATTCTGCCTAGGGAATAGTGATACTCACAGTAGGCTTGAAGTTTTCCATCTCAACTAATAAGCAGGAAGGACTCCCGTAGACATTCCTATAGGCTAACACAATCTATTCCCCATTAAGACTCTTTTAGCAAGTATTCTGGCTCATATCGGTTGAAAGTTGAAATTAATCAGCATGGTCCTTGCATGGTTTTTCCACTAGAGTAGATAGAGCTGGCCACCTCCTTTTCATAGGCCCTCCCCCAGCAGTCCAGAGGTAAGGTTAATTTGGCTGCAACACCCACCACTTCATTGATTGCCAGAGTTGATTTGACTGATATGGATGGCTATCCAGGAGGTTCCTTCCTCCCTAGCCACTCTATGTATGTTTCTCCTGAGCTATGTACTGGTTTGGAGAGGATGGCCTTCCCTCAAAGAGGAAGGCAGTTATTCAGTCAAGAATATATGAATAGCTGCACTCTTTTCAAATATTCCCTCAAGACTAATGAGACCTCTACTCCATGCCTTCTCTAACTGAACCTTCCATATTGCAACTACCATCTTCTCCACAACCTGAGTATATTCTGGACTGAGCATCAGCATCTCTCTCGAGGACTCTTATAATTACTTCCTCATTTGTCTTCCTGTACTGTGTCATCTCCTCTTTCCATTGCTACCTGATGGAAAATTTGTAGAACAAACACAATCATGTGAGTTTCCTTCTTACAGTAAATAGGGCACTCACTCCACGGTAGACTTTTCATTCCCATATTCTGCAGTTGCATCTGTGATGAAATAGAAGAGAAAGGTGGGTATGCCGCCAAGTGTGGGGAAGTAATGGAAACAGGGTTTTTGAAATAATGAATTGTTTCCATCTGAATAGGCTCTCAGAGGCATGGGGAAGAGATCCCCAGTATTTGAGATCAGCCAGCGCATCTCTATATGGCAGTCCTTACTGTATGGATCCTCTTACCCCAGCACCTTTGTTCCAGGCTCAGAGCCTGTGGTTTACCCTTGCCTTGTCTTCCCAGAGTCCTGGTTTGAGTTCACCCCTCACCATGCTGGCTACCCTGCACTTGGAGCTTATGTCCCTATCACAGAGTTTGGAAGCAGATTTGAGGATGGAAAGCTGGTTAAATCTGAGCCTGAGAGAGACTTGACTTACCTGAGAGGTCAGTACTGGGATCAGATGGAATTCAGTGGAGGTGGGCCATGGATGTTGGGCAAGAATGACCCATCTGAGTGTCTGGCTCTGCCAGGCTTCCTCATTGCTAGGATTTGGGGTTTCCAGAGGAAGACCTTCAGCATCTTCCATGTACTACCTTGCTGTCAATGGTCCAAGAGGCAACTTGTGATAAACAGATTTAGAATGTGGGTATGGGATTTATATGAAATCTCACAAATAGAACACTCAGGACTGTACCCAGCATGTGGTAGCAATTCAAAGATGTTAAATCTCCATTTATTCAGCAAATGATTTTTGTTGTTGTTTTAGACTGGGTCTCATGTATCCCGTTTTGGCCTTGAACTGATTATGTGGCTGAGGCTAGTCTTGAACTCTTATTTCTCCTGCATCCATCCCCCCAAATGCTAGGATTATAGGTGTGCACCAGTCAGCATAAAATTTTGAGATACACTATGAAGTCCATTATGGATGCTTCCTTCTGCATATTTTTTTTTCCTATATTATCCTTCCCTGAAGATGGCCTTTCCAACTATCTAGTCACTAAAGTAGGGTCTTTTGATGTCATCGCTGCATTTTATATATGTCTAATCTGGCAATAATTCATCTCCATTTCATTTCCAGGTTTTTAGAATCCATCCATACCCCTTTTTCCCCACCCCCAGCAGCACCCACCCCAAAGCTATCATTGTCTCCCACTAGAACTGCCAACCCTTCAGCTGTTCCCCACATTCCAATTCTGTTTCTGTCTATAGCAGGCAATGGGAGTCAAATGTAATATAACCCTATCGATTCACTCTCATTACAGAAAGTCTTCGTTTTTTTCTCTTTTCTTTACAGGGTTATGGGGAAGTGCTCTAGCTGATACTGACGTCATTAAGAAATTTATTTGTGGTGAGTATTTGAGGGGAACCCAGGGACCGAAGCCTCGAGATGTCTTGTGTAAAGAAACTCATCTTCAGTTTCCTTCATGTGACAGAAGAGGAAACTATTGTCCTTGTCCTGACAATTATATTTTCCCAATACTGCTGCCTTCTCAAGCCACCATTGGGGCAGCCAGGATGTCTGAAGAGTTCAGGGTGCAGGCTGCCTTGGCAACAGTGCGGCTTGGTTATGTGTGACCTCTGTTTCTCAGCCTCTCTGCACCTTAGCTGCCTATCTACACCACACAGATGATGGTAGCAGTGGTTGTAAGGGTTCAGAGAGTGAATTCTTCTAAAGTACTAAGGATGGAGCCTGGTAGGTTAAAAACACTGGGAAACAATACCAGTTATTCTCTGTTCTGTTATATTACCCTTACCACAACCCCAAGAAATGGATGCTCAAATCACCTGAATTATAAAATTTTCTTTATTTTGCCAGGCATGGTGATGTACACTTTAATCCCAGCACATATGGGACGTAGAGGCAGGAGTTCTTTGTGAGTCCAAGGCCAGCCTGGTCTGCAAAGTGAGTTCCAGGGCAATCAGGACTATGTAGAGAGACCCTGTTTCAAAATTTTATTTATTTTATGTACATGGATATTTTATCTGCATTTTATGTCTGTTTGCCATGTGTGTCCCGGTGGCTGCGGAGGCCAGATGAAGGCGTTTGGACTCCCTGGAACTGGAGTTATACATGGTTGAGAAATGCCGTATGTGTACTGGGTACTGGGCTTGGGTTCTCTGGATGGGTAGCCAGTGCTCTTAACCACGGAGTCATCTCTCCAGCCTTCAACTTGAATTTTTTCGAGAGCCAATGAGTCATAAGAATACTGAGTTAATTGTGTGCTCGCACTGACAAGTGAGCGCTGATGTAGGAATGTATGGCAGCTTGTGCCTGGAGCCACATAACAGCTCTGAGCAGTATGATAATATGCTCTGGCCAGCCAAATGCTCTGTGACACTATGCCTCCTATAACTGAGACGATACTGCCCCCCCGTTTCATGTATTAGAGATGAGTTTTAAATGACCTAAGGTGCTTAGAGCAGAGCCTGGACCATAGTAGTAATGTCTCACTAATGCATAATACCAATGATGTAACCAGACAGAATGAGTCTGCATTTTGCTGAGTGTGAAGCCAAAACTCACAGCCAAGAGGTGACACAGTAGAAGAAAGAGGCATTACCTGTTACCTGTGTGGGTAAGCAGAGTCAAGCATTGACGCCAAAGTGAGTGATGCCCTTTTCAAACAAAGGAAGTGTGGGGGACTTATTTGGGTCACTTGTGAGTATTTGGGAAGACATTTCAGGAGTGTGCACATTCCTGGGCATATTTTATTTAAGATGCAGAGATGTATCAGTGGCTTAGTGGTTAAGACATTTGTCATGCAAGGACCTGAGTTTGGATCTCCAGATCCTGTGTAAATACCAGATGGTCATGGCAGCCTGCCTGTAAATCCAGCCTTGGATGGCAGAGACAGGAGATTCCTAGAGAAAACTAGCAACTACCATAACCAGATTGGTTAGCTCTGGGTTTGATTGAGAAACCCTGACTCAATGAATACTATAGGAAGCACTAGAGGATGATTCCCAGCATCCCTTGAGCCTCCACCCATACCACACACTGCACACACACGTGATGTGCACTTTCATACTTATATGTTCCCCTCATGTGGTAAACACCGATACCACACACATAAAAGTGGGAAATGGGAAAAAGTCAGATGTAAGCATTTGAGCATGCTCAGTTCAAGATTGAAGTTTAAGAGGGAAGGATGGAAGCTGGGAATGCATTTGGATACATGAAGCTTGGGTTAAAGGTGGTGGGTAAGAATGCTCTGGGTGTGCTTAGCTTTTGTGGTGAAGATGGTGGGCCTCATCTAGTGCCACAGTGTGTGTTTGTTGACTTTTTGTGAGCTGAGCTGGTATAAAAAAAATTCTTTCTGCAAGGTGTTAGCTTCAGCCAAAGTAAAGAATATTCAGAATATGAGTTATATCTATAGAAATCTCTTGACCTTCAAGGCTACCTGCCTCACTGCAGCTGCTAACAGTAAAGATAATTACTAAAAGTTTATGCTCATAACTATTCATTCTTCATTTAATACCATGGGTCAAGCATATTCTGGGTCTATGCCTTAACACTGTTCCTTGAAAGTGCCATTCACCATCTGTTGGTTAAAGGCAAGTTCAATGAATCTAGAACCAGGTATGGTGGCTCACCCCTTTAATCCCAGTACTCCAGAGGTAGAAGCAGGCAGATCTCTGAGTTCCAGGCTAGCCTTGTAGACATGGTTTACAGAGAGTTCCAGGACAGGTATGGTTATACCCAGAAACACTATCTTGAAAGCAAAACAAAACAAAAAACCCAAAGAACAAACAAACAAAAAAGAGAGTGTCTCTTTCTAGCTTCCTAGTGGCTAAAGTTGGTGGTTAGGTCATGTTTCATTCCTTAGTGGGCATACTAGCCTTGCTTTGTGGGGAAGAAGCCTTGATTTATAGGGGTGTGTGTGTATTGTCCTATCCAATTTCATGTTACCAATATGGGCTTACTGGAGGTGGAGTTGGAAGGGAGGCGTGGAGTTAGATCTTGAGATTCAGTATCAGCGAAGCTCCAGCCTGCTGTGGTCAACTCTCTGAAGGAATAGCTCTAGAGAAACTTGGCTTTGGACACATTCAATGCCAGGACTGGTGGTGCTTGCCTGTGATCCCAGTATTTGGGAGGTGGAGGCAGGAGAATCAGGAGTTTGAGGTCATCTTCAGCTATGTAGTAAGTTTTGAGACCAGCCTGGGCAATATGAGACCCTGTCTTAGAAAACTAAACAAACAAACAAACAAAGAATTCAACACCATAGCCAGTGGCTTTATTGCACAGCTAAACATTTTGCATTTTTACCCTCTTGCAGACATGTTAGTAGACCTGAGAGCAAAACTGAAGCAGGGACATCTGAGAGGTAAGCACTGTGCCTTGTTGTAAATCACTGGTGAGGACATGGATGAGAATTTGAATAAGCCAGCCACAGATTATGCAGAATGCCATGATTATGCTCATAGTCACCTTGTGAAGTGCTGTTCTGATCTCATCTGCACAGTTGTGCTGTGTGTGTGTGTGTGCGTGTGTGTGTGCGTGCGTGTGTGTGTGTGCGTGCGTGCGTGTGTGTGTGTGCGTGTGTGTGTGCGTGTGCGTGTGTGTGTGCGTGTGTGTATGTGTGTGTGTGCGTGCGTGCGTGCATGCGTGTGTGTGTGCGTAAGATGCATGTATATGTGTGTGGAAGCCAGAAGACGGTGTCTGGTGCCACTTCTGTCACTCTCTATCTTATGTTGAACATGGAGTTTATTAATTGGCTAGACTGCCTGGCCAACAAGGATGCTCCTATCTCCACCATCGTTGCTGATTACAGTGTGCCCCTGTGCCTGGCGTTTTAAGTGGGTGTTGGGATCTCAACTCAGGTCCTCTTGTTGAGTTGCAAGTGTTTTACTGATGGAGTCATCTCCCCAGCCCCACTCAGGAATTTTTTTTGACAGATGAGACAACCGAGGATCCTGGATTGACAGAGAAATCATGATCGGAAGAGAGAGAGAGAGAGAGAGAGAGAGAGAGAGAGAGAGAGAGAGAGAGAGAGAGAGAGAGAGAGAGAGTGTGTGTGTGTGTGTGTGTGTGTGTGTGTGTGTGTGTGTATGTGTGTGATATGTAAAGGGATAATGGGAGGGTAAGAAACGTTGTCAAGAGGGCTTATGTCTCTGCTACATGGAGCAAGGGAGGCGGGGCTGCTGTGCTATACTTGCCAGTCAAGGTGGGCCTGGGAGGAACATCCTGGTTCCTGAATTGCAAGTGGGAGCTTTGCAAGTGAAACACATGGAAGCTGGCCTGGGTATACACAGCAGTGTCAGGAACGGGGTGACAAGGAGATTTTTGTGGGCAAGGCAGTGATGGTGACTCCACACTCACTGGAGGCTGCTTTTCTCCCTGAGCAGCAGCTGGAGCGGAGATACACATGGAAGCGCCCGAGATGCCGGTGACTGAGGCGCTCTTGGATTTAATGATGGCTTATGTCACAGATCAGAATGACCCCAGCATCAAGGATAAGCTCCAGGCCCTGCAGCAGGTTCTGAGTGCAGAGAGAGGTCTGTGCCTGAGGACACACCTGCAAGCTACTGTGTGGATGCTAAAGAGATGGAGAGCCTGAGGAAAGCGGGTGTGGGGTGGGGGTGGGGGGCTGACCCACAGTCACATGGCCTGCTGTGGAGATGTGGCCCTCTTTTCTGTCCCTTCCCATAAGTGAATGTGTGTGCCACTAAGCTCTGCTGCCTGATCCTTCCTGAGTTTAGTTTCTTCCCCCCCTTCACGTTTTTTTGTGACAGTTTCTCTGTGTCTTTGGAGGCTGTCCTGGAACTCGCTCTGTAGACCAGGCTGATTTCAAACTCACAGACATCTGCCTGCCTCTGCCTCCCGAGTGCTGGGATTAAAGGTGTGCACCGCCACCGCCACCACCATGCCCTTCCTGACTTTTCATAGGCTTTCCTGAAGGATGGAATGTTTTCTGTCAGAGGAAATTGCTCTGCAACACAATCACACAATCACTGCCGGGTCACCACAAGAGATGAGGAATGGGCTGAACAGTGATTCTTGGGAGATGGCGCAGGTCCATCCTGATGTGGGTCATCAGCTGGGTTTCTTGTGGCAGATGAGTTTGGTGAACAGAAGTACACCTGGCTGACTGAGATAGTTCAGAACTGGAATGAGATCTCTCCCAAGGAGAAGGAGCAGTTTCTGGAATATCTGCTGTACTGCTTCATGAGGACAGAAGAGTTTCACAAGGGCTCCATGTACAGCTCAATGAACTTGATCAGGGGTAAGTGCCAGCACTGTCAGCCTCCTCCTCTCTTGTCTCCACTGGCTCCATGACAGTTTCTCATCCCTGTGACGAATTGTCGTACACAAGCAACATAGAGTGGGTTATTTTCACTCACAGTTGAAGGAGGTACTGTCCACCAGAAGAAATGTGAGGCACCTGGTCACATTGCCCTATAGTCAGGAGGCAGAGAGAGAAGGAGAGAGAGAGAGAGAGAGAGAGAGAGAGAGAGAGAGAGAGAGAGAGAGAGAGAGAGAGAGAGAGAAGAGAGACAGAGAGAGAGGGAGACAAAGACATAGAGAAAGACAGAGACAGAGAGACAGAGTGAGACACACAGATATAGAGAGACAGAAAGGGAGATAGTTTAAGGAGATACTGTCCACCTGGCAGAAGGAGTGAGGGAGCTGGTCACATTTCCTCACAGTCAGGAAGCAGAGAGAGACAAAGAGAGAGACCAGAGATAGACAGAGACACAGAGAGACAGAGAGGCATAGAGATAGAGACAGATAGAGACATAGAGAGATAAACAGAAAGGCAGAGAGACAGAGAGAGACATGGAGAGACATAGCGAGGAGAGAGACAGGAAGAGAGACAGAGAGAGAGACAGTGGGGGAGACAGAGAAGGACAGAGAGGGGAGGAGGGACAGAGACAGATGGAGAGTGAGAGACAGAAAGAGACACAGAGAAGAAAACTCTGTGTGTGTGTGTGTGTGTGTGTGTGTGTGTGAACTATTTATTCAACTGGGGACCCAAGTCCCTGGGATACCACTGTCTATGGTGGGTCATCCATACTCAAAACCCTCTGTCACCTTGAAGACCATAGGACTTCAGAGGAGTGCCAACACATGCCATCCCATGATACTTACTATGTGCCTTTCAATTTTGCATCTAGGTTTACTCCAGGACACTTTTAATTTTCTGAGTAAAACTGGAATCTGTTGTTGGAGGTGGGAGTGGGGAACTGTCTACAACTTCCTCTATAAAAATGGTGAGAATATTCCCTTTTTGTCTTCCGAATCTCTCACGGGCTGTGGTGAGCTGTGGGAGGATGAGGGCCATGAGTGTTGTCAGCTCATCCCTTTCCTGGAGGTGTGGGGTGGGGATAGGACGGTGCTCAAGGGTCTGAATGACAGAGCGTCTCCATGGTCGTGGTTTACAGTGAGAGAGACACATAGTCTTTTTGGTATCAATAGAAGTCATGGCAAGGTTCCTGAAGTGTTGGTGTTTTCCTCTGACTCTAAAAAGATGTAGACACTCACCATAGTTTATCCCTTCATGATCTGACCTCCATGTTCCAGATAGAACAGACACTGGCTTGTGGGGTACTCTTCAGACACTTCATTGCTTTTACAAACTTCTGTCACCTTGCTGTATGAGTGACTTCTTCCAAGACTATGCCCCAAATATTTAAAGTCCATTTACCACTCTTCCGTAATAAGACTACCTACCACCAATATCTTGTGCCTTGATGCCCTTGTAGTTTGGGAAAAGATAAGTTCCTCTTGGAAGTTGAACTTCACAGCATTGTTAGCTTGGTCAGCACTATACGTGAATTGAGAAGTTGTAACACTCTATTTTCTCTGGTTATAACAAAACATCCCAGGCTGGGTACTTTATAAAGAAGAGAGGTTTGTTTAACTTATAGCATTTGAAGATGAAAGTCCAAGATGAGGTGTCCCCATCTGTTCAACCTCTGGTTTGGGCATTCCTGGTTGTAGCATGACGTGATGGAGAAGCCATGTGCAGAAGGGACACCATCACGGATGGGAGTGCCTCATCGTATAAATACTTGGCTCGCTCTCCAGAGCTAATTTGCTGCCACACAAATCCCTTCCCAGGATGGTGCCTTCACCTTCAAATAGGTCTGTCCTTTAAAAGGTTCCTCCACATCAGCACTGCACACTGCGGACCAACCTTCCAGTGCACACGTCTCTGAGAAACACATGGAAACCATGTCCAGACAACAGCGGGAGTGAACCCCAGCTGCACACGGGTCTATGCTCACTTCTCTGAGGCAGCAGCTCCGTCTGCCTCAGCTGCCTCCTGCACCCGACATTCTGACCTTAGATCAGACATGTTTTTTTCCTGGGTTTAGGTAACATCACAGATGAGGCCATGCAGAGCCGGGAGTTTCTGCATCTGGTGGATGCTGGTTTGGCCATCAACACTCCCTACCCACTTGTTCTGCCTCCGGCTCGTGAAGCTCACCTCATCCTCTCGTTTGACTTCAGTGCTGGGGACCCACTAGAGGTAACTGAAAAGAAACCTATGCATTTGAGGGAAGGAGATGAGATGGCCGTGGACAGAGATGGGGCTGTGCAGGAAGGAACTCAGGGTCTGATTGGGAAGTGGACATTGGGCTATTGTTGTCTGGGGGCACCATGACATGTGCACACATCCCACATCATGCATAGATGCTCATAATGATCATAAATTTAAAAACTTTAAAGATACCAGCAGATAAAGGTGCTTGTTGCCAACCTGAGTTCCATCCTCGAGACCTATGTGGTAGATCTCATAAATTGTCTTTTGATGCCACATGTGTACAGTAGCATACACACACACACACACACACACACACACACACACATTTAGTATGGGTCTATATATCTTGTCTTTAAAATATACACACTTACATAATATGCATCTGTATGTCTAACGCAATGCATACAGATATATAAAAGTATATTTATGTTTGATCAAACTCAGATTATCAGGCTTGATGGCAAATGCCTTTACCTTCTTGTTCTTAATGCTGGTGGGTGAAGATTTATATTTCACGTTTATGTTTCTTTTTGCTGGCTGTAATAGTTGGATCTGGAATGTACCCCAGAAGTTAAGAACTTATCCCATGTGTTTGACTTGATCCTTAGGGTAGAGATAGGGGAGTGTCAGAAGATTGAGGGCATATGCCTAGTGCAGTGGTTCTCAACCTTCCTAATGCTGTGACCCTTTAATACAGTGGTGATGCCCAACCGTAAAGTCATTTTCGTTGCTACCTCATAACTGCAATTTTGTTACTGTTATGAATCCTAATGTAAGCATCTGTGTTTTCCAGTGGTCTTAGGTGACTCCTGTGAAAATGTCATTCAACCCCTAAAGGTGTTGAGAAACACTGGCCTAGTGGGAGGTCCCTAGTTCACTGGGATCATGCTCTCAAAGGACAGCATGCTCCTTTCTCTTCCTGCTGCCTGCCTTGTGAGATGAGGAGGTTTGCTCTGTTGTACACTCCCACCAGGTGACCAAGCTTTAAGCCCAAACCAACCTTTTCTGGTTGTCAGCCGATTGGCTTGTGTGTTTCCTATAGGAATGGAAAGCAGACTGACTTCCATGGTAACCAGTAGGCTATTTAAAAGCACTTGCATGGCTGACTCCATTTCTGTCAAGCAGCAGTGGAAACTGGCTTTCTCTGTCACCATCCACCCCTCCCTGTGAGCTGGATGTTAAAGAGTCTCTGGGGGGGGATGAGATTGACTGGTTCTGAATATCTGTGAGAGTCCCCTCACCTGAGCACATCGTCCTTCGTACAGACCCCAAAGTTGTTCTTTAAGCCTTGGCCCACAGGGAATGGGAGATGTCTTCGGTACAAAACAAACCCGAAAACGACCGCGTGCCTTGCAGCCTCCTCCTGAGGTCTTTGCTGAGGTTCCAGGGTGTCTCAAGGCTTCCTATTCTCCCCTTCTCAGACCATCAGGGCCACAGCAGACTACTGCCAACGCCATGCAATCCCCTTCCCTGACGTGAGAGAGGATCAGCTGAAGGAATGGGCCAGAGCCCCGGCGAGCTGCTACATCCTCAGAGGGGAAACTGGACCTGTTGTCATGCACTTTACTCTGTTCAACAAAGACACCTGTGGAGGTAGGCGAGGGAGGAGGGCAGGGTAAGGAGCCATGGGATCTGGGCTGCGGAGAAGGGGGGTGGGGTGGAAGGGCTGTATCTTAGGGATGCATGGTCCGCACTTTAACATCTATAGCTCATCCTGACCACCCTGAATCTCCAAAACGGTGTCATGTTTTGTGTTTCTGTCTTGGACATTTCCGCCTGTTTCCTCCTTTTGTTGGGATGTTCCTTGTCCTCGATGGATGTCTGGCTCCTCCCACCTGAGCACCCCCCATCTAGTCCTAGGTGAACAGTTCTAGGTGGGTCTCAGCATATGGCCTGATCCTGTGGGTCTCCAACCTGCTGTTTATCCCTGGAACTGGACTCCCTGGAACTCTCCGCCACTCTGCCTTTGGAATGGGGTTCCATATACGGAATAAAGTGTAAAGCCTGACCCTTTTCTTTCTCTAGATAGTGTCTCACTCTTCCTGCAAAAGCTGGCTTAGAGCTCAGGATCCCCTTCCTTCAACCTGCTGACATTCCACATGCTGCTTTACTTGTCCCTTTCTACTGGCCTTTGCTTTGTTTTAAAGATGTTTCTATTATATTTAGTTATGTGTGTGCATTTTTTGTCTGTCTGTGCATGTGAGCGACAGAGGCATTGGGTGCTTTGGAGCTGCAGTTACAAATGGTTGTCCATCACCTGACATGGGTGCTGGCAGCGGAACTCCAGTCTCCTGAAAGAGCAGTAGAAGTTCTGCCTAGCCATTCTTCAACCCCCCTGTTAAGTTTATTTCTAAGACAGAGTCTCACTATGAAGCTTAGCCCTTGCTCAAACTCATAATTTTCCTGCCTTGATCTGCAAGTGTTACTATGGTAGGTGAGCACTATCATGCTCACCGAGTGTATGTACTTTCTTCCTTCCTTTAAGTTTTTGAGAAGCTGTTTTTATGTTATGTGTGTGGGTATTTTGTCTGCATGTATGTATGTGCACCAAGTGCAGCCTGGTGCCCAAGAAAGCCAGAAGAGGGCATCAGATTTTCTGGAACTGGAATTACAGATGTTTGAGCCACCATGTGGGTGCTGGGAATTGAGCCCATTGCCTTTGGAAGAGCTGTTATTACCCCTAACTGCTGACTTATCTCTCCAGACCCCTCTCTTCCTTTTTTCTAAATAAAGATTTATTAGCCTTTGTTCCCGGCAACACAGGTTAATATGAAAAAGGAGGCATTTTTTTCTTCTTTGCGTAGGTATGGAGAATAGTTGGTAAAACATATGCTTCACTTTATAAAATGATATACCAAGACCTCTTTATTTATAAAGCCAGGTGTGCCAGCTGGATTTGGGCTACAAAAATACTTTACCAACTCCTGACCTAAATGGACACAATCTAACTTGACAAATGCTTTTCTTGGTTTGGCTCTATTTCAGATGACATCGAGACATGGAGAAAAAAGTATGAGACAATGAAACTATCTGACTTCTACACACCAGACCTGGTGACAGATTTGCTGAGGGTGTCTAAGGAGAATGTTCAGATAAACAAAGATAGTATCCTCAACGAGATTCGGAAAGTGGCTGGGTGAGTAGCAGTCTGTATCAGTAACTGTAGCTGAGGCTGTATCAGTAGCTGTTGGCTCTAAGGAATATCTGTTGTAGAGCTAACTTTCAGTACATCTGGTGGGAGGATTGTGGGTGTGGTTTTCAATTGAACTCCTGCCTAGAATCCCCCAGTGAGGTGTTGGGTGTACAGCTAAGTAGTAGAGCTCCTGCCTAGAATTCCCCAGTGAGGTGTTGGGTGTACAGCTAAGTAGTAGAGCCCCTGCCTAGAATCCCCCAGTGAGGTGTTGGGTGTACAGCTAAGTAGTAGAGGCCCTGCCTAGAATTCCTCAGTGAGGGCTCAGGGTGTGGCTCAGTGGTAGATGCCCTGCCTACAATTCTGCAGTGAGGGGTTGGAGGTGTGGCTCAGTTGGAGGTGTGGCTCAGTTATAGGATACTTGTTTAGTTTGTATGAGACCCCAGGCTCCATCCTCTGTACTAAAAATAAAAACTTAAGAGAGAAAGTATTTCTTACCACTGGAGCTTGCATCGGTGAAGGGGAGAAGATAGGCCGTGAGCAATGCTGGAGTGAGTGGCTCTCTGAAGCGCAAAGCAGAGTGGACTAGGTTGCTATGGCTGTTGTGACTGCCTTGGGGGACCAAATGTCTGGGGATTTTCTCAGAAGCAGAGAGTATGTGCTTCATGGCCACCCTCTCATGGCCCTTCACAACTGACACTGAATCTGCAGTCACTTCCGTTGGGCCCAGAAGTGTCTGTCAGATCATGCTCAGAGGTGCTTTTCATTCCACTCTCAGGAAAACTGGCAGCTTCCTAGGGATAAATAAGGACTGCTGGAGAGACACAGTGCAGGATGTCCAAAGTCCTCGGACTGTGGAGATCAAGATATCCAACAACACGGATATAACATTCAAGGAGCCCTTGTAAGTCTCATCCTCGTCCTCCCAAGTCATCCCAATGCCTCATATGTAGTCACTGGGCATCTCTGCAGGGACTTCCAGCTCAGTGACAGGTTCAGTGTGTGGTGGCAGATCAGACAGAGGCAGCCAGTTTAAGTCTCAGCTTCCCTTCTGCAAAGGTTTCACAGCACGTGTGCTAATCATAGGTTAAAGTAAGCCTGTAAAGATCCTTTGGTTATCTTATATGCATAAACATTTTGTCCTGCATGTATGCATGTATGTATGTGTACTGTGTGTGTAGTGCCAGTGGAGGCTGGAAGAGGGCATCAGATTTCCTGGATCTGGAATAACAGACGGTTGTGAGCTGTCATGTAGGTGCTGGGAATTGAACCTGGGTCCTCTGGAAGAGCAGCAAGTGCTCTGAACTGCAAAGCCATCAATCTTAAAAAAATGTAATATTTTTACCTTGGGAACTTAATAAATGATATATTTGATTATATTTACCCTCCAAACCCCCTCCAATTCTTCCCAGATGCTCTCAGATCCCCCTCCAGACTTTATGTCCAATTTTTTTAAATAACCCACTGAGTTCATCTGGTGCTACCCATATGCAAGTGGGTGTGGGGTCATTTACTGGAGCTTGGTCTGTAGACCTAGCAGATAATATCCTTAGAGAAAATAGACTCTCTCTCCACCAGAAGCTATCAGTTTTGAAAGTAACTCCTCATACAGGGGTGTGGCTTGGGTGCCCCTTCCCAATCCATTAGGGGCTGTGGATGGACTTGATCTTGTGCGGGGACCCACAGCTGCAGTGAGTGTATCAGTGCAGCAGTCCCGCCCAGAATGATCTTAACCTTTAATGACCTGCTTGTCCTTCATCCTCTTGTGGTTTTCCTTTACCTGGGAGGAGTTGCCACTGGCTTGATGGTGGGACCCTCGTCTCCCAGTGTGGGCACCACATCATGTGGCAGAGCCGGACATAGTCTCACAGTTGTCTGTGGTCACAGGCAACGAACCTGGTTTTCTTGTTCTCAAGTACTTAAATTGTGCACGGGTGAATTAGGGGTACAAAGCACAGGGAAAGGTGTCTGTGGGAACAGATTTCCACATAAAGGAGAACCACATGAGAAGAATCTGGAGTAGAATGGCTTGAATAAGCGGGAAGTGATGACTCAGTGTGAAGCTGCAGAAAACACAGAATGAAGTATGATGTGGATTCTGACGGGTCTACTATTTGATGTAGACAAAATCATTAACTCCTTGCCTGGATCTGAACAGTTGTCTCCAGACTTGACATCATTAGATGAACAAATATTTACATGATAAGCATAACTAATGGGGACACTCCCTAGGCAGTAGAACTGAGATTAAATGTAGGTATTCTTGTGGAATAGGAACTTTATCTTTTTGAACCAAGCGTGGTCTGTAGAGTCCTCCAGATCTTCCACTTTCCTCCAACATGCAAGGGCACTTTCGTAGAACAACAGTGACCTGTAACTCCTCTTTCCCAGACACTACTTGCAGAGTGGGCATGTGCTAGTGGACCCACCGCCTGAGCTGTCTCCAAAGTCCACCATCAGCTGTTCCTTTGTGAAGAAGAGCTCCAGCTTCCAGGGCACTGTGGGCATACTGGTCTACCAGGGCCCAAGTGCCCACGTGGCCTTGCTGTTCTCTGTCCCCTTCAACTATGCCCTTCACAGAACTGAGTTTGCCTTAGCCATCATAACTGAGCCAGTCTCCAGAAACCTGGAGAGTGTCTTTGATGACATCACCCAGGGAAATGGGTCTCCAGAGCTAAAGGCAGCAAAGTATGATCTTCAGATCCCTCAGGGGACCCTGAAGCTGGAACACGACTCCTTGATCATCAGAGCCACGGTGTCCAACATTCATGTGGCTAAAATGGATGTAGTGCTTGAGACCAAAGCTCCTTAGAAGTTTCTCTTGTTCATCCAGAGCTGCTCATTTTACACTTCCAGTCAGATTTCTTGGCTCTTTAAAAGGAAAGACCTCAGCTGAAATCATGGCCCATCTCTGCAGAGCCAGGCAACTCTGAGAAGACAAATATTCTGTAAATGCGTGCTGCTTGACTAACTGATTGATGAAGCATTTCTTAGTCCCTCAGCACCCTGCATTTTGTGGCACCCTTGATGTATCCCTTATTCTTCATTCCCTGCCATGCTGTTGTATCTTTCCTTCCGTACTTTTCTCCCTGAACATCTTCCCTTCAATCTGCTTTAGATACGTGTCTTCCTTGGCTGTCTTATCTGCTGCCTCAGCCCCCCTTTCTGCTTGCCCACTTCCTCTCCTTTCTACCCCTTCTGCGTGAAAGTCAGTGGTCAAGCTTGATGGCTCTGCATCGGATTTGGGTCTTGGTCCCACAATTTGCTCACTGTAAGTACACAGGCAAGTCCTCTCACATGTGAGCCTCACTTTCATCATCTGTGGAGGAGATAATCCGGTTTGTGTCCTGGCAGGCTCATGAATGAAGTCCTAAGACCTTAGACCAGCTCTGGTAAAAAGGCAAAATTTTCAAGAGGCATTACTTATTATCTTTTCTCCCAGCCAATTTGTTTCTTTTGGTTAAACATTGTTATTTGTAGACGGAATACACGATGATTGGGTTCATCGTGGTTTTTTATAGTCATAGATAATTGTTAATATTTGTTTTACATTACCTCCATTTGACCCTACTTCCTTCTCATGTGGGTCTTCTTCCTCCAAATAACCCCCTCCTACTCTTGTGTTATATGTGCATAAATATGCATTTTAGCCTAAATTCTGTATATAAAAGAAGACATGCAGTCTTTGTCTTTTTTCTCTGCTAATTTCCCTCTTGTCCTTCATCTTTTTGGACTCCTTTCCTTCCACCAAATTGTCCCCCTTCCACTTTTATAACATATGTAATACATCTAGATAGATGATAAAGATAAATAGGCCAATAGGTGATAGATAGATGGTAGATATGAGGTATATAGGTAAGATAGTTAATTAGCACATAGATACAAAGTAGATAGCTAAGATAGATAAGTAGATGACAGAAGAAAGATAGGTAGATAACTAGATAGCCATTACACTTAGAAAGGAAAACATGATAGTTGTCTTTTTGAGGCTGGGTTATTTTGCTTAACATGATGGGCTCCAGGGCTGTCTATTTTCCCACAAACAATCCAACTTCTCTCTTCTTGGTGGCTCAATAAACATTAAAGACTGCTATGAGTTGAATTGTTTATTTCTCCCCGAAAAGTTGATGCTGTACCTCATGTGCTTGTAGATATGACATTAACAGGAAATGTGGAATTTACAGATGTGAACAAATTAAGACAAGATGGTTAGGGTGGGTCCTCATAGAAAGAGAATTTGAACATGGACAGATGTGCTCACAAACACATGGCTATGAGACCATGAAGGAAGAGGTTGCCATGATGCACACATGGGGCAAGGAATACCAAAAATGGCCAGTGAATATTCAGTTGTCACATTACAAACATCTGAGGCAAAGGGTCTGAGGTCACAATCCTGTGCTCCACTGTCTATATCTTGATCTCCAAGTTCAGTGAGGTTCTCAATCTCTCCTTTATTCTGTGACCTTGGCATTTTGAAGGGTTCAGAGAAGTTGATTTTGTAATCTTGAGAACTACCTATGATCGCATCCAGGGAGATCATAAAAGCTACGGATGCTGTGTCATACAAAAAACATGTGCATGGGAGTGTGTGCCTGTGCATGTGATTTCAGAGGCCAGAGGTGGACATCTGGTGTTCTGCTCTGTCATTATTCACCTTATTCCTTTGAGACAGGGTCTGCCAACTGAACTTGGAGCCGGACTGGTGGCCTGCAAGCTCCAGTGATCCTCCTGTCTTTGTGTTCGCACAGCACAGGGCTCATAAGCACTCATGGGGTCATGCCTAGCTTTTTGTGGGCGTGCTGAGATGATGCATGCACAGCGAGTGTTCTTAGAGTGTTCTTACCCACTGAGTCATCTCTCCGTCTCATTTAGTTCTTTTTGCAACTTACCAGGAGATACATTGTTCTGATTTGTTACATCACTCAGGATCTTCATTTTGATCACTTAAGATGTGCCCACCAGAGAGTTTTTCATTTGCAAATTATTTTCAAATTTACCAGCATGCTTATGGAATTCCATGGTGCTGAACTCTGGCATGTTCCATGACTGTCTGAGCAATCCCTTGCTTTCTGGCATAAAACGCTGCAGGCTTCCTTTGTACATTTCCTTTTCTAGACATAGATTTCACCACTCTTCAAGGGGCCTTGATTCCTTTCATGGATAATAGTTTTTGGATGTTACATCACAGCTACCGGAAAGCAAATTGGAATATGTGGGTCACATGATATAGAGCTTTCCCACCTTCCCCAAAAACCTATTAAATAGAGAAACTCCTTTTGCTCTTAGGATCTGAAGGGAACAGAGGGACCTAGAGATTCCCATATCTACCCCAGGGCCCCTCATAGATACCTATAATTGTGATGCTATCTTTCCTATTAAGGGTGCCATCATGGCCGCTTATGGTTAAGATATTATCTGCTTTCCTATTTCGGACTCCATCATGGCCGCCTGTAGCCATGAGTCCATTATTCTCCTAATAAAGCCTCTTCGAAGGATAATCTCATACCTGTTCCTTTCCTTGAACCTGCATCATTCCTAATAGCTCCTAGTCCACCCCTGTGGAGACACCTTTCTCACCATAGTCTAGAATTTACCTTCAATGTCATGCTACCTCCACGAGTACACATTCTTCAGACTGTGGTGGGCTATACTACCCTGTGCAAAATTTATATAGGTAGATTCCCTCCTAGGCGACTACTTATAAGCCATACCCTGGATGTTGCCTTCACATCATCCATACTCTCTCATTTCCAGGGCCCTGTACTAGTCTTTTTCCCATTATTTTTACAGTGTACCTGAGGATAGGAACCGAATGGAGAAAATATGCTTATATAGCCCAAATTTTGGATGTTCAAAGGCATGGTACTGGTATTGGCTAGGCATTGGTGAGAGCATCCTTGGTTGTTTTACCTGATAGACAAGATGATGGAGGGAGAATGTATGAGAGAGATAGAAATACAGAGAGACACACAGAGAGACACAGGAGTGAGAACAGAGGTAGGGGAGGGTCAGACTCCTTATTTTTAGAAGTGATAGTTACTTTCTGAGGGAACTAAATGGGGTTCCCTTGAGAAATACATCAGTCTCATAAAGAGTTTCCATTGATGACCAAGTTCTCAACACATGAATCCCTGGGGCACATTGAAATCATACCCAAACCATAATATCTTCTGCACATGGTGTACTTATTTGGGGAATCCCTTCACTTCCTTTAATCTGGGAGCTCTGGCTTCCCATGCTCCATGACACCTACCCATCATGTGTGGGTGTTCTCAACACCTTTGGACTCTGATGCTGATAAGACTTCTCACCCTCCTTACTCACCAACTTTGCTCCCACCCCTGAAGCTTCCAGAAAGAACAAGGGAATAGTTGAGCTGAGGATGAGTGAGTGCCATGCCTTTCATTGTAATATGAAAAATAAAAGATCAGAGACATACTGGGGTTTAAGTTTCAAGCTGAACATCAGCGAAGCAAAGCAGCCAAACCAATAGATCTTACCTCTACCCCGCTGAACAGCAATCCTGTCTCCATGAATCCTCAGAGGCAAAAGCTCTCAGTTCCTTTCTCCTTCTCCTTTTATTCCTTTCTCTGGCCAGCCATATCCTCCTGTCTCTGCCTCCCTAGTGTTGGGATTAAAGGTGGGTGATCCCATGTGCTGAGATCACCTTCGTGTGAGCTGTTTCTTTAAGACTGGGTCAATTTGTGTAGTCAGTATGGCCACGAACTAACGGAGATCCGTCTACCTCTTAATCCTGAGTCCCGGGATTAAAGGTGTGTCTCATCACCACCTAGCTTCTATAGCTAACTAGTATGGCTGCTTTGCTATCTTGATCTCCAGTGGCTTTAATAAATCATAAACAATATACCACCATACTTCGTCTTATGCATATTCACTTCTTAGAGCCTAGCGATGTGTAGCACTTTTCTTCTGGATGGAGGGAGGGAGGAAGGATGCCTGTAAGACTCAGAATGTTATCAAACCTATGAGGCTCAGGAAACTCATGGAACTTTGAAGACTAAGGCATCTCAGATCATTACATGATTCACAAGATCCCTCTCAACTTATAGAGGCAAGGGCATGTCTGAGTCAGGGTTTCTATTTCTGTGAAGAGACACCATTACCATGGCAACTCTTTTTTGTTTTTGTTTTGTGTTTTTGAGACAGGGTATCTCTTTGTAACAGTCCTGGTTGTCTGGGAACTCACTTTCTAGACCAGACTGGAATTGAACTCACAGAGATCTGCCTGCCTCTGCCTCCTGAGTGCTAGGGTTAAAGGTGTGCTCCTCCACTGCCCAGCAACCACACCATCTCTTATAAAGGAAGATATTTAATTTTGGTGGCTTGCTTACAGTCCCGAGGTTCAGTCCATTATCATCATGGTGGGATATGGCAGTGGTAAGCAGACATGGTGTTGAGAAACAGCTGAGAGTTCTACCTCTTGCAGGTAACAGGTGTTGGGTCTCGGGTTATGCAATGTTGGGGAATAGGAACCAAAGTCTATTAAATCAGAAGCAAGCTTTATTCCAGGAAAAGAAAAGAAAAGAAAAGAAAAACCCTATGGGACACAAAAACTTATCAGCTATAGCTGGAGTTCAGGCTTCTGAAACTGTGGCAATGGGAGCTGGGGTTGGACTTCTTCTTAGAGTAAAACCGAGCACCAGGTGGGGGTCAAAGTGCTTTTACAACCTTGAGGTCAGGCTTAAAGTCACATTACATTTAAGTTTTATAACTTTTGCTTATAGGATGTTAGGATGTTAACTTTTAGTTGTTTGCAAAAAAGCCTGTGGCTGATACAGCTGATTTTCACTATCGCTGAAAAAAAGCAAGCTAGAGAGTAGAGTCACGTAGGAGGACTTTTAAAAATTCAGGGACTACAACACAGAGGGTCTGTCCTGTGAATCCTCAAAGCCTGCCTCCATAGTATGTCCTTTCTCCAATAAGACCACACCTACTTCAACAAGGCCACACCTCCTAAAAGTACCAGTCCCTTTTGGGGCCATTTTCTATCAGACCATCACATTCCATTCCCTGGCCTCCAAAGGCTTGTAGCCGTTCATAATACAAAGATGTTTTCAGTCCAATTCAAAAGTCTCCCTAGTCTATAACAGTCCCAAACTTATTTAAAAGTCCAATGCATAAAGTCTCTTCTGAGATTCACGTAATCTCTTAACTGTAATCCCCTGTAAAATCAAGGTAGAAAAGTCCAAGAATAAGGATATAGAAATATAGGTTCCAGAAATAGGAATGTAGAAATATAAAAATACAAAGGAATAAGCATAAGAGAACAGGCTATCAGTAGCTTTCTCAGCAGCTTATGGATTATCTGTTAGCAACGGGTTCTCTTACTTTGAGACTGACTGATAGTTCTGTCTGCAAGGCTAAAATGGCCCTCTGCAAACTTAGGGTCTTTCTGTAAACTGAGAGCCAGCTTTTAGATAACCTCCTGACCACTCATGACCAGCAAATTGATGTGAACCGAGTTAACTTTTAAATGATGGGATGTATGCATATGTATTCATTGTGCATTGCTCCATACTCCTCCCAGCTGTGCAAACCTGGCTGCATCAGGGGAGCGCAGAGTTTTGGTAAACACCAACAGAAAGCACCAGAGAGAAACAATGGCCTAGATAAAAGCATTCGTTTAACTGAAAAACCCTGGTAACAGAAATTGTAAAAAGCTATTTGTAACTGAGTTTTACCTTGAGATTGTAAAAATTCTTTTGTTCATGACTAATGCTTGCTTCTTACTATAAAAAGTGGGGTTCAGATACTGCCCAGTTTGCCACAGTTTCAGAGACCTGAACTCTGGCTGTGGTCTGGGCTATAGCTGATAAGCTTTTATGCCCCAAGGAGTTTTCTTTTCTTTTCTTGGAATAAAGCTTGCTTCTGATTTAATAGACTTGGTGATTTGTCACCCATCATTGTACAACCCTGGACCCAACAAAAAGATCATATACTTCCAACATGTAATGACATAGGATATACATTGCCACTCCAAAACTTAGGGAATGGAGCATGGTGAGGAAATACTGAACCAAAAAAAGACCAAAACCCAGCTGAGCGAACACCAAACTCTGTGTCTCCACA